GCCCTACACTTCACCTACCGGTACGAGGCTGCTACTCAAGAACCTTTCTTCCCCATCGGTTGTCAGTTCTTCGAGCTATATGGCCGGCCCACTGCCACTTCAGCTTACTAATCCGTTGGGCTATGTCGGTTACTCTGGTTCTACTGCGGATATCCTCATTTCTAAGTTTATCACGCAGAGAAACCCCGAGCATAGCCCTCTCCATAGCTCGCTGAGCGACCTTGAGCTTCCTCATACTGCCAGCAGTGAACAACCACGTCTCAGATCCAGGTCAGATTTTAAGGTTTTGAGGTATGTCTGACGAGAAGATGTGTCGTAGTTTCCCGAACGCTGCCCAGCCGAGTTGAATCCGTCGATTGACCTCTCGGTCGAAGTTGGATTTACCTAGTCGGACTATTTGTCCCAGGTAAACATACTCGTCAACAACTTCGAGCTTAGTGCTCCCAACAACTACCGGCATAGGGGTGACATGGACATTAAACATGATCTTTGTTTTGTCCATGTTCATCCTAAGACATATTCGTTGGGAGACACTATTGAGGTCATTGAGCATGGTGCTTAGGTCCTCCAGCGATTCTGCCATAAGGACTATATCGTCGGCAAATCGATGGTGAGTGATGTACTCGCCATTGATGTTTATACCGTATCCTTTCCAGTTCAGAAGCTTGAAAACGTCTTCCAATGCAGCGGTGAAGAGTTTCGGGGATATAACATCACCCTGTCTTACACCTCTCTGCAATTGGATAGGTTTCGTACTCTGGTTCTGTACTCGGATAGCTATCGTAGCTCTACTGTACAAGCACTTCAGCACTTCGATATACCGACAGTCAACTAGGCACCGCTGAAGGGACTGCAGCACCGCCTGAATTTCGACGGAATCAAAGGCTTTCTCATAGTCCACATACGCCATACATAGTGGCAAATTGTACTCCTCGGACTTCTGTACAATATGCCGAAGGGTATGTATGTGGTCTATGGTGCTAAAGCCCTTTCGGAAACTGGCTTGTTCGGGAGGCTGGAAGTCGTCAATTCTGCGCGCGAGACGATTCGTAATTACTCTCGAAAACAGCACGTAGACGCGGCTCAGAAGGGAAATCGGTCTGTAGTTCTTCAAGAGAGCGTTGTCACCTTTCTTGAAGAGTTAGGAGGACGGAATTAAAGATCTTCTGAAGGACTTCAATTACCGGTTTTCCACCCGCTTTCAGAAGCTCCGCTGTAATTCCATCCTCGCCTGGGGCCTTGTCGTTTTTAAGGTGCTGGAGAGCCATTTTAAGCTCGCTCAGACTGACGTCCGGGATATCTTCGGAATAGTGTCAGATAAGACTCACTCTTGGATCGTTACTCACACTTACGTGTGGCTCCAACGATGAGGTATACAGCTGCCCATAGAACCTCACCTGAGATTGAGACTCACTCAAAATCTCAGGTGTCCCGGAAACGATGCCACCACACTCGGTCTTCAGCTTTGACAGTTGGCTCTTTCTGGCAGACAGATTTCTGGCAAAGACTTTGGAGCCTTGGTTTCGCTCGATCGCTTCTTCAATACAAGCTGTATAGAAGTTGCGTAAGTCCCGCCGCATGCATTTGGAGATCTGTCTGTTCAGTTGCCTGTATGCTGTCAAATCTGTTGAAGAATGTAGCTTCATCTCCCGTCTAACAGCCATGAGATTGAGAGTGTGATCGGAGAGTTTTTGTGTTCTTCTGCGGCGGGTCTTGCAGAACTTAGCTCCGACCGCATGGACAGTTTCCACGAGCTTGTCATTCATAGCGTCCACTTCATTGCAGTCTAGGCACTGAAAACGGTTTTGTAACTCGAGCTGAAAGATTTCGGGACTTTGGAACAGAGGAATTCAATGTGTGTAAGGAACTGTCTATGCATGTGAACTATTAGTGGAAACGGTGAAACGTGTGCTCTGATGGTGATGGATTCTCAAGATAAGCTGTTTGTTTGCATGGGCGCCTTTAGATACCACCGCCAACTGTCAGCTGTCTGCTGGCTCAAGTTGCCGTCAAAATCTCCCAAGGGCTGCACAATATGACGCATCAACATATTGTGAAGCAGTGAAATTCTATATATTCAAAATAAAAAAGACAAGGCTGTATGTGATAGTTCCTTTGCCTGCTCTCTCGAGCGAATAATAAAAACAACAACAATCAAATGTTATGTCTTCAAATTCAACTCGACTATGTCTATGAATAAGAGCGCTAGCACTTCTTACACAGGGATTCTGTTGTCATGGTGATTGGTTGTCACACGGGTTTAATAAATTTTCTCAAGAAAATTTTAATTAACGACGTTATTTTCGTTTGAATTTGTATATTTTTCTAAATTTCAATCTAATTATTGTACGTAAGTGTTTATTATTATTCGTAGTTAGCTTATCTACTGAGGATGGAAGAGATTGAACAGGATTCAGATCCTCCGGATGATGCCGGAAAATCTGGATCTTCACCCGACTTGTTTATTAATTCTAATCCTACTGATACATTTTATCAGTCCGATACTGGTAATCCAATGAAACGCAAAGCCTATAATATATCATCCCTAAATTTAGAACCGAAGCAAAAGATGTCTTCTCTTCCTTCAGCAGCCGTACAGAATGTATTTGTTCACCCTTTATCTGAACAAAAGAAACGCTATAATAGTAATGACAGTGCTCCTTTTATTGTTCACATTATGAAACCGACAGTGGAGCCCTCCTCCGGAACTACAATTAAGCCAATTAAAGTGGGTCAATTTCTGTACCAAAACAATATTCAGGGAATTTTAAAAAATGGTGTTAAGAGAATAGGACGCAATCGTATTTCTATTGAGTTTTCTTCCCCCCAACTAGCTAACGATTTTATTGTAAGTCCATTACTTGCTAAAGCAAATTTTGTAGCGGTAATTCCTACCTATGCTATTACGAGAATGGGTATCATTAGAGGTGTTCCAATCGATATAGGTATGGATGAATTCGTCTCTGCATCAGAAGTTGCCTCTTCCTCAGAAATAATTCGCGCTCGTCGTCTAAACCGTAAAGTTATTAAAGCAGATAACTCTGTTGAGTGGATTCCAACACAAACGATTGTAATTACGTTCTCTGGTAAATTACTGCCCTCACATGTTTTTGCCTATTTCACGTCATATCCTGTAGAACCATACATCTTACCAACAATACAATGTTATAACTGCTGTCGTTTCGGTCATGTTAAGTCTAAATGCCGATCCAAGCCTCGTTGTTATAAATGTGGACAACCACATGATGGAGAATCATGTGAAGTTACCTCGGTCACATGTCTTCACTGTTCTGGTAATCATACAGCTATTAATTCATCCTGTCCAGAATTTAATAGACAAAAATCTATTAAAGTAATTATGTCCCAAGAACATATCTCTTATGACGAAGCATCTGTAAGAGTCCGCCCATCCAAACGAGGCTATTCCGACATTGCAAGCAAAACTCCTTTAAATCCATCTCCTAATACGAGTAATAAGAATTCATATAAAAAAACTTTCTATATAAATAGGAAACCACGATCTCCAGCATCCGATCATGGGTATGACCATACAGCCCATGAATCCATGATCCAAACCCCAAGAAGTTCTCTTCCTAATGGAAATGCTTACCCTAAAGATAATGAGCAAAACCATACATCTCCAAATGAAAATTTAATAGACTTACTGATATCCACACTTATGTGTATCATTTCGAAATTTGACGACCACTGTTTACCTCCAAATTTAACCCAGTCTCTTGAGAAACTATCGACGCTCTTAAATAATATAAATAAGCATGGCTACGATTCTTCAATGGAACTGTCGCAGTATTAAGCATAAAAAAGGCGATTTAATCTATCTTATCAACAAATACAACCCGTTTCTTGTAGCATTATCAGAAGTTTGGCTTCACCCGAAATCTCACTTCCGTATTCCTGGTTTTGCCTGCCTTCGCGAAGACAGGAAAGATGGTTACGCCGGTGCTGTAATCCTAATTAATAGATTACATTCATTTATCAAGGTTTCACTTCCTCAACATAGTGAGGAATTAAACGTTGTTGCTTGCAAATGTAATGATATCACATACCTGTCTTTCTATATTCCTCACCCACATCCATCACTGATCACTGAATTAAACTTAATAATTTCAACTATTACTCCTCCTTTTATATTACTACTAGGTGATTTTAATGCTCACCATGTCTCATGGGGCTCATGCAGAAATGATACTTTTGGCTATCTCTTAATGGAATTGTTTGATGAATTTAATATTTGTATTTTAAATGATGGATCACCAACAAGGAGAGTATATCCATCTCAAAATCCTAAAAGTGTTGTTGATCTAACTTTATGTACCCCAAATCTTACATCACGTATTAACTGGAAAGTTTTACCTCACTCTTATGGTAGTGATCATTACCCAATATTACTTTCATTAGCCAACTGCTCAATACCAATCAGAGTTTTTTCGCCGCTGTTAAAATATAATATAAAAAGAGCGGACTGGGCTAAATTCTCATCGTTATCAGATTCGGTACTCTCTAAATTTTATAACAGTGACTCTAATGATATAGAGACAAACTACAAAAACTTTGTTAAGTATCTTTTACTCACCGCAGATTCATGTTTCACACGAAAAATTTCGCCTCCTACCAAAATTTGTTCTCCCCCATGGTGGGATGAGGAATGCACACTCAGTGTTAAAAAACGAAAACAAGCTGAACGTCTATACTCCTCCAATATGTCTAATGAAAACTTTTTAAATTATAAAAAAATAGCTGCCCATACATTAAAACTGTTAGCACATAAAAAAAAGACGGGTTGGCTTAGGTTTTGTAAAAATCTTTCACCCCGCTCTCCTGCTTCTATATTATGGAAGAATATAAAGAAATTCCGCGGATCATATAACGTTGATAATTATTCACCGCAATGTGATTCCTCTATTTGGTACAATTTATTTGCCGATAAGCTTGCTCCTCCTTGGGTTCCCTCCTTTGAGGAATTATGTTATTGTGAACCATTGATAACCCAACCTGGAGTAAACATTAATAATTCACGTTTTAATGAACTTTTCTCCAATGAAGAATTTGAATTGGTTGTTCAACACCTTAAAGATTCGTCACCAGGTATAGACGGAATTCCATACTCATTTATTTCTAACGCAGGATCAAAATCTAAGCAAATTTTTCTAGACTTAATCAATGACATATTTATTACGGGAATAGTCCCTAATGATTGGAAAATGCAAATTATTATCCCCATCTTAAAACCAGACAAAAATCCTAGTGATGGTAATAGTTACCGCCCTATAGCACTATCATCAACTTTGTGCAAAATAATGGAGCATTTAATTAAAAACCGTCTAGAATGGTTTGTTGAAAATAAAGGTCTCTTGGCCAAAACACAGTTTGGATTTCGAAAGGGACTGAGCACGCTTGATAGCTTGTCAGTTTTTACCTCTGATATACGCTCTGCTTTCTCCAGAGAAGAATCGGTTGGTGCTGTTTTTCTCGATGTATCATCAGCCTATGATAACGTTATCCACCCTTTACTCAAAGAAAAGATGCTTCTTTTGGATATTCCCCATAGAATTACTCGCATTATTTTTAATTTACTTTCAGTAAGGTCAATATGTATAAGAGTTCAAGGAAAACTGCTCCCTCCGAGACAGATCTGGCGTGGCCTCCTACAAGGTTCTGTTTTAAGTCCTATTTTATTTAACATATACACCCATAATCTCGAACATTCTGTTAATTCCTTTTGTAAAGTCTTACAATATGCTGACGATCTAACTCTTTATTACTCTTCTAAGAACTTTACAGACTTGAGTTATCGTCTTAACTCTGCATTGTTCTATTTAAATAATTGGCTTACTGATAACGGTCTATCCTTATCACCTACAAAAAGTAGAGTAGTAATATTCTCTAGAAAAAGATTTTGTCCCAATATTTCAATCTCAGTACAAAATCAAATAATTCCGACAAGTGATAATGTTAAATTCCTAGGTGTTTTTCTGGATTCTAAGATGACAGGTATTCCTCATTTAACGTTCATTGCCCAAAAATGCGAAAAGAATGTAAATATCCTTCGTTCACTGACAGGTGTTTGGTGGGGATCTCATCCATATTGTTTAAAACTTTTATATAACGCTCTAATCCGTAGTCATTTTGACTACGGTACATTTCTTTTGGAACCTTGTAATAAACAAGCTCTTAACCTTTTAGATAAAATCCAACTCAAGTGCTTAAGAATTATTTTAGGGGCCATGAAATCATCTCCATCAAATGCTCTACAAGTTGAATGTGGCGAACCTCCTCTTTACCTACGTAGACAGTATCTTGCCGATCGCTTTATATATCGAATATTTCAGATATCTTCACACCCACTGCTTTCTAAACTGCGTTCTTTAAACTCTGGTTTGAAGAATAACAACTACTGGACTCATAAAGACGTTCCATGTATTCTTAAAAGCTACCAAAAGATACTTACCTTCAAATTTCCCATATTTCAAAGTATGTTTAATCCTCTATTCGTACATCCATTTGAAGCTTTATGTTATCACCCTCCAGTTATATTAGATTTTGGTGTGACTAAAAATTCCCCTGTAGCCCAAGAAAAATTTATAAGTATATTACGTGAAAAATGGGAAGGCTGGTTGACCCTTTTTACTGATGCATCCAAACTCTCCGAGAATAGTTATGTAGGTTCAGCTGTCTGGATACCAAAATATAAAATTATATTAAATTTTAAAAATTCAAATGTTACTTCAATTTTCACTGGTGAAGCGGTTGCTATTTTAGAAGCAATTTTATTTATAGAAGCACATAAAATTAACAAATGTATTGTTTTTACTGACTCATATAGTTCATTACAAAGCATTTCATCTAACCCGTTTCGAAGTAAATCGAAATTCCCAATTATTTTTGAAATAAAAGGTGCACTGTATAGGTGTTTTTGTCAAGGTCTTAACTTGAAACTTGCTTGGCTGCCAAGTCATAGTGGCATACGTGACAACGAATTTGTTGATTCCTTAGCAAAGCAAGCATCTACTTCTGGTACCCTCATGCATCATATAACATATACTCATGACCTTATTTCTCTTGCGAAAATCCATCAGATGGCAGATTGGAACTCTCTTTGGAAAAAAACTCAGAAGTCTATCGGTAAATATTATGCAGAACTCCAACCTGACATCCCCTCCAAACCATGGTTTTTTAAATTTAGAAATGGTTCCAAACATAGCACATCTGTCATATGTAGAATTAGATTGGGACACACTTGTACACCTGTATTTTTAGCAAAACTTAGGATTAAAGATAGCTCAATTTGTGAGTGTGGATTAGACGAAGGTACGATCGATCATAAATTTTTTAACTGCCCTAACCTCTCCGTTTCATTATACGATTATCTTCCTAATAACATTCCTCGTCCTGTAAATCTTAAGTCTTTGTTAAATTTAGTTTTCACTCCTTTTGTTCAAACTTTATTAGATTTCATATTCATTAATAACATTAAACTATAGTACCTTTGTCACTTACCTATATCCATATTATTATATTAGCAATAATTTTGTAAAAATATTATAATGTTAATTCATTCGAAAATAACTACATAGGTAAGTAAGTTCGTAACATAAAGTTAAACGGAAACTAGTAAATACACTGTGTGACTCTCATGAAATACTTGACGCTGGCAGAATCCATTGGAAGTTGCCAAACTAAGAAAAAAAAAAAAAATTCAACTCTCTGACTAGTATACGGTTTTCTGTGAATTCAATTTTCAATTTTCATCAAAGAGTATAATAAGTATATACAGGAAATTTTCATTCATTGTTTGTTTGTTGTTACTTTGTTGTGTTGTATTCGCTATTCGTGTCTTAAATATAAGTTCTGTGGTCTTAAAGGAAAGTAATATACTGGGAAATTCGTGTAGAACCTAACGTAGTAACATAGTATATAATTATACTACTCTTTGATCGTTTAACCAAATATTGCGAATTCTCTTTTAAAAATGTCCGAAAATGTAGAAAAAGTTGACAGCAGTGGTGATGCTCGGAGACGAATATTAAATATTGCAGTTTCAACTGTGCTTTTGGAATCTGGCTTTGAGGCTGCTGATAAAATGTCACTGGAAACTTTAACCGAAATTCTACAGTGCTGTAAGTTTGTATTCAAATTAAATTTTTAAAATTTAATATTTTATTAAAATGAAGTAGTTAAAACGAACAACTAACGAAAGTACATTTTGAGGGACGGCACAGTTGATGTATGTCGCGCATGTCACCACCCTGGCGAGTCCCTCAGACATGTTATTTCCGGTTGTTCACAACTATCAAATGGCGAGTATTTGCACAGACATAAAGTAGCTAGAATAATACACCAGCAGCTTGCCATTAAATTTGGTTTTACTCAACAGGATGTTTGGTACGACTTTCTATTGACGTCCGTCGAATTTGGTGTTGATATGTATTTTTACAGAAAGATTACATTCTTATAAGCACACACACAAAGTTTCAATATGTGGAAACACATACTTATTGAGAAAAAATATTGAAAATCAAATATTTTTGCAGTATTTATGTCAATTCCTACCGTGAAACTGATGCCATTTTTATTATTATTGTCAGTAGGGATGTCGATTCTTTCCGAAAAAGATCAATTTTTTAAATAGATTCGAATTGTAAGCTGATGAATCGATTCCCAAATAATCGATTTCTAAAATATCTATATTTTTTTCATGTTTGCATTTATAATGTAAATATAAATCCAATTTATGAGAAAAAAATTGCTTTCATCATAAAAAAATAAGGGGCTGATTCAGAAGGATTTCTGTATCTATTTTGAGACTGCTAAGTGTCCGTTGCTATAAAACCACTCTAGTGGTAGGACAGACTCGTACCAGGTGGAGTCGGGGTCAATCAATTCGGTTCTTTGACATAAGTTCAACCTAACCTATTTTATTTGTTATCTGCCCTAATAGGTACTGTTAAAATAAAACAAATTTCAATAAGAGATCATTTATCATGATATCTTTCTTGTTTTTCATAAAATGGATTTATATTTACATTGTAAATGCAAACATTAAAAAAATATAGATATTTTAGAAATCGATTTTTTGTGATCCGTTACATCAGCTTACGATTTGAATCGATTTAAAAATCGACCTTTTTCGGAAAGAATGGACATCCCTACAGTTACTGACGTCGACAATGTCATTACAAAATGGCGCCAGGTAGGATTAGACATAAACATTGCAAAAATAATTGATTTTCAATAATTTTTTTCTCAAAAATTTTTTTTTTTGTGTGTGTGCTTATAATAGTGTAACTTTTCTGTAAAATATCAACACCCAACTCGACGGACGTCAATGGAAAGCTAAGCCGGATGTTCCATATTATAAGTATGAACCAAAGCCAGTCCTTGAAAATAGAAGTGTCACGCTGTACTGGGATCGGTCAATTATCACAGACAGGTATAAAGTGGCAAATAAACCTGACATTATGGTGATAGATCGAACTACATGCAAAGCAATATTAGTGGATATCAGTGTTTCTCATGATGAGAATCTCGTGAAAGCAGAGAGTGATAAAAAAATATATAGACTGGCTCATGGGAAGTTGATTCTACTGTTATTGTACCTATAGTTGTATCAGTCAATGGGCTTATTGGTAAAAATATGGACAATTATCAGTCCAAGTTAGGTTTGGGCAAATGGCTGAAGGGATTAATTCAAAAATCGGCCTTATTAAATATGGCTCGAATAGTACGAAGGTTTCTATCTTTGGATGCCTAACTTCACCGATGGCTTAAGATTCAAGATAAGGATAATAGCCGAAATAATTATATTATTTATATAGTTTGTATTTATATTTATAACTAGCTGTTCCCCATGACTTCGCCCGCATGGAGTTATTTTTCGTGGAACTCTAAAATAAAAGCAGCCCAAGTTACTACTTATAACATCAGCTATCTGCCAGTGTGTATAAATATTGACAAATATTGACATTAATATTTATAGGATACTAATGTCACTCAATTGTTTTGCCTTCCCCGAACCCCTCCACTAACACTTGAACTTTATGGCATAGTATTAAAGTTCAAATTGATTTTTAAGTATTATTACTAATCTTTTGTATGGGAACATAGAAAAGTGTTGTTTTTAGAATTTTTTAAATTTTTCTCTCCGTAAGAACCATATTTATACTTCAAGGAATATTATAAAAAAAGAATTAGCGAAATTGGTTCAGCTGCTCTCGAGATTTGTGCTTAGCAATACATTCAGCGGTTCATTTTTATATTATAGATTACCCAAATATTTCTATTTAAGGACTCGGTATTTGACCAACGCAGAGGTCACTGCCTTTGGGTAACAATAAGCTTAAAATAGGAACTCCTTCCAGCTAAATACCTTCTTCATGATAAGCAATAAACCCACATTTTGCACGAGTGTTGACCTTACACTTAACACTAAGGGACAATGGGTACCTAAAGTAACTATGGGTAATAAATAATACCCAGTAGCTGAAATTCTGGTCATATAATCATATATCATCAGTGCTATTGATAGTATATTTTAAAGTTTCTTCATCATGTATATCGCCTTTGGTGCTGGCATGGAATATCCACTACTAACCCATATCATCCTGTGATTGGTGTATGAGCTGCTAGGGAATTGAAACAGGAGATGCACAGCAGTATCTTCCTGTTAACAACTCTAAATAATAAAAAACTGCAGTTCTCAACCCACCTGCTAAGCATGGCAGCTTTGGCATTATCACCGCTGAAGCAATCTATAGGGGATCCTCTCCTATGTCTAAATGAAGATTTTCATAAGCACAGTTTCATCCCATTGGTGTTGTAAGAGATTAAGGAATATACCAGAAAGGAATTTCAATGGGTGATAGTAAAACAATCTCACTTGTGCTGGGCGTAAAAGACCAGTAACAGACCAATGTCTATGCCTATGTCTATGAATTTTACATTCTGATGAAGAAGATAAACATAAAAAATATCACAGTAGAATAGAGCAGATGGGAGATGTGTTTAGACATAATTATTGTATGACACATTCTTTTTTTTAAAATGTAACCTCCACACTAGGATTTTCTCATGTATCGTGGGAGCAGTTTACAATGATTTCCAGGTCATACAAATACTTGTACTGTGTAGCATTCGAACCCGTGGCCTTTAGTGCTGCAACTCAATTGCTAAGTCACGGATCTGTCGGAACACATTCAGACCATGGATAAATAATTTGATGTGGTAGAGCCATGCTGGAGCTATATTATGGTAGTAGCACAAATGGGTTGGCTCGATCAGGGAATAACCACACTCTCACAGAATACCAGCATCAAAAAACAGATTAATGCTGCTGTGATTTGTATGGTGAGTGTAGAGAACCGGAGACCCTTTTAACTGTAAACGAGGCATTCCATCTTAGTCCTCAGGGGTGACAACGTATCTGCTGATTCATAATCTAAGATAAATGTAGATGTCCATGGGCCACAGTATCCACTTACCATCAGGTGGACCATGTGCTCGTTTGTCACGCCATTCTATAAAAAAAAAATTCTTCTTCTTTTAAATTATGACTTCTCTTAAAAAAAAGTTATCTCAGAAAAGCAGATAACAGTATCATATTTTTGAAGTATTTCATGTTCATATTTCATGCCAAAGGTGGAAGCAATACAGTAGCGGCAAATTGAAGAGGCAGTAGATTAGTAGATCAGATGTACACAAAAATTTTCTTAATATTTTCATTCAATTTTATTGGTAGAAATTGTTCACTAATACTATAAACTTGGAAATCAATATTTCTTGAAGTCTACCCACAAAAATAGGCCACTTCACTAACACTTTGAATATGTTCAAAAGAAATGTTTGTCTCATTGTTCAGTTAAGAACAGTAAAGAATGAAAAGTTGACATTCCTATTGTTATTTAAGGACCCGTATGTTATGCAGTACCTTTTGGCTTGTTGAGAGGCCATACTTGAATAAAAACTCAAAAATAAATATCAAAAGTGTGCCTAAATACTTATTAGAGAAAAATAATATTTATGTTAATGTAAGGCACGCGTCAGCTCTAGCGGGCGTGTATATTTTCATGCCGAAAGCGCGTTGTGAGACAGGCCTGGTTTCATCTTTTGTAACAATAATTACTTTAAATTAAAGAATATCATTGAGAATTCTTAGATAGAGATAGAGGTAGTAAAGACTTAGCAATCTGAATTTGATTCTTAAGTGATGCTTCAGTAACTGTATTGGTAAATTGGACACTAACTAACTAATATTATTGTTTTACAGTTTTGACAGAAGTTGGCAACTCGGCAAGAGGGTATTGTGAATTATCAGGAAGGGTTGAACCAGTGCTTGGTGATATAGTAATGGCCCTAATAAATATGGGTTTGTATAAATATAACTTTTAAAGTCAAATTTGCAGAATGTGTTATATAGTATACATTTGTTTTATTATAGGTATAAGCCTTCAGAACATAGAACAATATGCAGCTCGGCCAAATAGACATGTAATACAACCCCCCCAACAAGCCCCTCCACCAAGAACACCAGCTATGTTATCAGCAGGATCTAAAGCAAAGCCAGCATATAATATACCATTTCATTTACCACCACTTCCAGATCCTCATGCATACATAAGGACTCCAGTAAGTTTAATTTTATAGATGTTAATAACATTTAAAAAAAAGTGTTGTTTTGTTTTGAATTTTGATTCATCAAATTTTGACCGTAGTGAATTATACTTGATTTTAGACCCATAAACAACCAGTGACAGAATATGAAGCTATCAGGGAAAAAGCAGCTACACAAAAGAGAGACATTGAAAGGGCACTCACAAAATTCTTAGCAAAAACCAGTGAGACACATAATTTGTTTAATACAGAAGATAATCAAGTTTTCCCATGTAAGTTCATGTTTAATCTATCTAAGTCAATTAAGGTAACTTTATATTAATTGACTCTGCAATGGCTAATTAGTTGCCATTACAAAGTTTTAAATGGAGAACTAAGATTGAGATTTGCAGTTTCAGAGACCAATTTTTACACAAGTGTTGGCTCCAGCTAATATTCGAACTCAGGACCCACTCAGTATCCTAAAAATTGGGGCTTGAGATTGTGAAACATGTGCAAATATTCAATTAATAAACGTGGGGGAGCAGGAGACGTAATTGTAATAATATTTATAGTAAAAGAGTGATATTTCATTCGCCGACATGGTGCCAATATATCGCCGGCGTTATAGGCTTTTCAATATTGGGGCACTGAAATGTATGGAGTGACCTATGATGCTTTTTCAATGATGTTTAGTTGTAGCTTGAATGGGGTCGGCTCCATCCACTAATGCTGCACATAAACTTATGACACTATAAAGTTGTTGTAAATTATGAATTTACTATATCAGCCATTTAAATATTTTGCTGCATAATAAATTGTCATTTGATGCGCCAAATCAGGGCTCGGATAACGTTATATTTTTAGAAAAATGTTTTCGCCTTAAATACCTAAAAACTTATTTGTTTCGTTTATGTTCGAACGGAATCATAATGAAAACGTTTATGAAGAGAATGAAATTTGAAATCGTTCTTGTTCAATAAAACGTTTTTAACCATTTTTTCCCATTTTTGGCCCTGCAATACGAAACTAGCTTCCTGCGGAATAAGCCCTTTTTACTGGAAATGAGGCATTCCATCTTAGTCCTCACGGGTGACAACGGCAAATGGCATTTTGATTCGCAAACGAGGATAGATGTAGATGTCTATGGGCCGCAGCAACCACTTACCATCAGGTGGACTGTGCTCGTTTGTCACACTTATCCTATAAAAAAAAACGTTTTTTACGTTTTCACATTACGTTCTCATTTCGTTTTTGTTCCGAACAAAATGTTATACAAGGAATTGTCCCAAACGTTTTAAAACGTTATTTTTAATAACGTTTCCGAGCCTTGCGCCAAATTACGCATGTCGTAAAAAAATTGCTCAAAACCATTCTAGGGTTGGTGAGCAATAGAACTGGGACACCAAACTGGTAATGTTACTACTTCCCATCACTGGAATTGGATTTGGATATATGTCTTGCCACTTATGGCATTGGAGGAATATAGTATAAAAGAGTAAATAAAATCGTAAGATTCGTGTACTAGGAAACATCATTACCAACGTTAGGTACATACTTTGGGAAAAGTTGGTGTATTTTATCATGCCCATTAACTCACAAGGTTAGCTATTTCACTTTTTGATTACAATAAAATTAATTCAACCCTACTTTTTTTCAGTGATTGCCTGTAAGCCAACATTTCCAGCATATTTACCATGTTTGTTACCAACTGATCAGGTGTTTGATTTTGATGAACTGGAATACCACTTTCAAGTTGCTAATAGGACTGAGGATATGCCTACAGACAAAAAGGGTAAGATATTGGCAACAAAATTTTTGACAGTGATTGTTGAGTTTGTCATTCAGCAACGTGGACATTTATATACGCTGACGACGTAGCCATCTGCACAGACAGCCGCGCTCACTTGCAAGAGGCACTCGTGTCGTGGAAACATCAGTTACAGACCGGTGGCCTAGTGCTGAGTGTGGCAAAGACTCAGTTCATGTCCTTCAACGACCCAGATACAAGCAACAGTCCGATTTCCATCGATGGACAATTGGTGAACTCGTGTGATCAATACAAGTATCTGGGTAGTATGATGAGCGGTTCTGGGGACTTGGAAATTAACATTCAGCACCGAATAGCCGCAGCGTGGCTAAAGTGGCGAGAAGTGACTGGTGTCACGTGCGATAGGAGAATGCCGGTCAAACTTAAAGGTTTAATCTATAAGACCATCATCAGACCAGTCCTATTGTATGGCAGTGAAACATGGGCCGTAACTCAAAAGAATGTGCATACCATGCAAGTTGCTGAGATGAAGATGCTGAGGTGGATGTGCGGCGTTACCAAGCGCGACAAAATCCGCAACGAGTACGTGCGAGGAAGCTTGGGCGTGCGCGACATCGCTGACAAGATGCAGGAAAGTAGGCTGCGATGGTATGGGCACGTGAAGAGGAGGCCACCCGACTACGTAGGGAACTTGGAAGTACAACTCTCCATCCCAGGTCGAAGATCCAGGGCAGACCCAAAACACGATGGAAAGATGTAGTGGTAAAGGACATGAGAGAGTGCGAAGTCTCCGAAAATGAAGTCGAGGATAGAGCGAAGTGGAGGCGTAAGACAAGAAAGGCTGACCCCACCACCATGTGGGACACATAGCCACGAAGAGAGAGAGATTGTTGAGTTTGTCTAATTATATATATATATATATATATATCATCATCATCATCATCATCATTACAGCCTTTCATAAGTCCACTGCTGAACATAGGCCTCCCCCAAGGAATGCCACAAAGCACGGTCCTGAGCCACCTGCATTCATCGACTTCCTGCATGTCTTACCAGGTCGTCACTCCTGTATGTATATATATATATATATATATATATATATATATATACTAGCTGGCCAGGCAAACGTTGTTCTGCCTTCTCCGACGACCCCATGTCCTATAAAAATTCTTAAATTCGCAATAAATAATACTGAGGATCACTTATCCGGGTAAAAACCATCCTATCTCTCAAGTTGGACCAAACTGCATACAGTGTGCAAAATTTCATTGAATATATATAATATATCATCATCATTACAGCCTTTCATAAGTCCACTGCTGAACATAGGCCTCCCCCAAGGAATGCCACAAAGCACGGTCCTGAGCCACCTGCATTCATCGACATCCTGCATGTCTTACCAGGTCGTCACTCCTGTGTATATATATATACATATATACTAGCTGGCCAGGCAAACGTTGTTCTGCCTTCTCCGACGACCCCAAGTCCTATAAAAATTCTTAAATTCGCAATAAATAATACTGAGGATCACTTATCCGGGTAAAAACCATCCTATCTCTCAAGTTGGACCAAACTGCATACAGTGTGAAAAATTTCATTGAAATCAGTTCAGTAGTTTAGGAGTTCATCACGGACAAACATTGTGACACGTAATTTTTATATATAAACATATATAGAATCAGCAAATATATATATATATATATATATATATACACTAATAATTCTATATAATTACAGATCAATCAGATAATGAAGGTGATAATGGAGGTGACAATGAAAATGCAAATAATTCTCAATCTGAAAATCAAGATACACCTGCACCATCAAGTCCAGAAAGAAGTAAAACGGGGAGTTAGCTAGCAATAAGAATTAAAATGCTTCTTAGTTTACCTATCATATTTTTTTATTAAATAGACTAAAGATTAAAATAATTAAACATTCCTTAATGTTTTACTTAATTTGAAACCTCATTGTTTATTTATATCGCTTAGAACCATCAATAATTTTATTTACCTTCATGGGCATATTTAAATCACTGAAGAGTTAATGAATGCCATTTTTTTGCAAACTTCAAAAAAGTAATATATTAACAAAACGACTAAATGTTATTTTCTCCTTTAAGGAGTACCTAGAAACTCTAAAAGCCTATTTTTAATTCTTCTATACACTATCTATGTCTTAGTATCGACTTGAGACTGTGAAATTATTTTATTAATAATAATTGTAGTTCTTTGTAGTCGCTTACTAATTTAACTTGCAATAAAAAATAAAACTTACTTTTGCTGGGCTAGCATGGGCAGGCGACAATTTTATCCCCGGGAAAGGAGAAAATGTTTATACCCTCGCTTCGTTTTATCCACCCTTTGAGCATGGGCACACCGGTGGATATAATATCCACAGTAGATAAAATAGGAGATAGATAGATTTTTTGTATAAATATAAACTTAATGTCCAATGAATTAGGATACAATTGGACGTAGTTATACAAAGAGGTTCCAACCCACAAGTCATTCAAAAACGAGTTAAATATACAGATCTACTTATTGACATCTTCATAATATGACATAGTTATACAAAAACGTTCCAACCCACAAGTCATTCAAAAATTAAATATACAGATCTACTTATTTTGAATCGGTTCGTGAAGATGTTAAAATAAGTAGATCTGTATTTTTAACTTATATTTGAATGACTTGTGGGTTGGAAAATTTTTGTATAACTACGTCCAATTGTCCTTTTCAAATGTCAAAAAAGCATAATTTTTTATCTTTCATTTGGCTCTCTCTCGTTACTCGTTATGTCCAACGGAAATATACTTCTCCCCATTGCCGTGCTTTGGCATAAGGACAAGATAATTTTATCTCTTGTTAGTGGATAAATTTAATAATATAATCGGGGGATAAATTTTTTATCCCCACCCCATGCTAGCTGTGCTGCAGGCTTACTCATTAGAAGTTAAACTTGACTACCTTGATTCTGGAGATATATCAGAATAAAAAGTATCATACATATTTGTTAATCCAGACTATGGCTTATCTGTATGCTAAATTTCATCAAACATCGTTTTACGCGCTGTAATAACAAGACATCCTAATTTCTAATTATCTAATTTGGGCACTAACAACTCTTTATATCATCGTAATAGTCAAAATCTTAATTATATATCGACATAGGTAAATAAAAATGTCAATTTTTTTTCAAATCTTAGTAGGTACGAATGCTACAAAACACGGTCCTGAGCTACCTGCATCCATCAACTTCCTGCATGTCTTTACTTACACTTACTCATTATTATTTTTATTTACTTAAAACACTAACCATGTTTTCCTCACAAGCTTGGTTAGTGTCACCTGTTCCGATGGCTTTGTTGTTTAGAGAACTTAGACTTTCGGTCCATATGATGCTTGTCACAAAACCGACAATATCCCAACGTGGGTCTCAGGTCATTTAAGTTCCAGCTGGAAGCATTGGGAGCCAGTTACGGTTTAGAGCAGATTTGGACGAAGCGTGGACTTCATCAATTGGGACCTTTCAAGCGAAAAATTGATATTCAGAGTGCCTCGGGCTAGTCGGTGAACACTCCCGGTATTGAATTTGTTGATCACTCAGACATCTTTGAATATGTGCCTTTTGGCTGTCATGATGAAGTCAATCTCGTTTTTGTAACGTTATCGGGACTGCGCCAGGTCCACTTGTTTGGGGCTTCTCGAAAAACCGAATTCATTACAAAAATAGCCCCTCTTTCTCAAGGAAGTTGACCAGCAGAGATAGCTAGATTTAATTGCACCTCATCTTGCTATTATTTTTAATACTTGTATCGATTCTGGTGTGTTTCCTGATTTAATGAAGTATAGTTAAGTAATACCTTTATTTAAATCTGGTAGTTAATTCTATGCTGGTAGTACATTGGACCCCGCTAATTATACACCTATTTCTGTACTACCAACTCTCAGTAAAATTTTTGAGAAAATAATTATGGATCAATTGTTATTTTTTAATACCAATAAATTACTTCATAAAAACCAATTTGGTTTTACGAGGGGTCGCTCGACGTCTGACGCCGGTGTTGAGCTTATGAAATATATTTTTAATGCCTGGGAGAATTCACAAGATGCCTTAGGTATTTTCTGTGACCTTTCCAAGGCTTTCGATTGTGTTCATCATGAGACATTAATCAGGAAACTACAACATTACGGTGTAAAAAATTTGACTTATTACTTCATATTTAAGTAACAGAACTCAAAAAGTCGTAGTCAATGTTAAAGGTTCCTCCAAATCGGTAGTATCAATGGGCGTTCCTCACGGCCCGATTCTTGGCCCATTCCTGTTCTTAATCTATATGACTTACCTTATCTTGTAGGGGACAATCACGATATAGTATTATTTTCTGATGATACTTCCTTGATTTTTAAACTTAAACGTCTATCATTTAAATGTGACGAAGTAAATAATGCTATAGCAAAATTAGTGCATTGGTTTAACGTTAATAATCTGCATTTAAACGGCAATAAAACTAAATGTATTAAATTTACAATACCTAATGTAAAGCATTCGAAAACCAATGTGCTCTTAAATGGGGAGGAGTTGCGTCTTGTGGATACCACTGTTTTTCTTGGTATTACTATTGACGCGAAACTTCAATGGCGCCCCCATATATCTAAATTAGCAAGTAAACTTAGTTCTGCAGCATATGCTGTAATAAAGATTAGAAGTCTCACAGATGTTGAGACAGCTAGGTTAGTGTATTTTAGTTACTTTCATAGCGTAATGTCTTATGGAATTTTGCTATTGGGTAATGCGACTGATATTGAAGCTATAATTAATTTGTTTTACAAAAGGGAGCCGTACGGGCGATTTATAATCTAAATTGTAGAGTCCCTCAGAAAAAAATTTAAAGAAATAAACATATTAATTTTGGCATCGCAATATATTTATGAAAATGTAATGTATGTACATAAAAACATAAATAGCTTTAATAAGAATAAGGATGTTCATACCTTAAACACTAGGAACAAACATAAGCTTGAAATGCCAGTTACTAGACTCCACAGAATTAGTAATTCATTTATGGGGCAATGTATACGCTTTTTCAACAAAATCCCAGAACATGTTCAAAGTTTGTCCATAAACAAGTTTAAAAGTTTTATTGACGAAAAACTGTACAAAAAGGGTTATTATAATATCAAGGAATACATGAATGAAATTAACCCTTGGGAATAAGGTGAACGCCACCATGCTGGTTCTATGAAAATTCATTTAAAATTGCATAAACAAAATTATTGTTAAGTGAAATTATGTTCCGTGGGGTCCCAAAATCTATTCGACGCTCGTGCGCTTACTTAAAACTTTGTAACTTAACTTTTGTTGGCCTTAGTGGTGTTACATAAGGCCATAGATGTCTTCATAAACAGTTTCAACTTCATCATTCGAATGTCGAAGCCGAAGTCGTGCCATTTGCGCCGCTCTAATGCAATTGTGATATAAACGGCAATTGAGCGAAACAAGGGACCCAGTCTGCTCAAGAGCTTGAGAGAAGTCACATAGCAAAACTGCAGACGCATGATGGAAAAGTCCTCACGTTAAAGCCTGAGGCTCTCTCTGAGATCGAAGACTGTTATGATAAACTATATGCCTCACATACATAGGCTGCACTAAAAGTATCGGAAATGGGATATTTCCGCTGTACCTGTCATATTAAAATCTTTTTAATTGAAAACTCATTGGATTTAAAAATCGAATACCATTTATTTATTTAAAAAAAGATTCTCGATCTTGTCACAAGGTTTTGTCAAACTTGTGTTGTCGTTGAGAAAATGGAATTGACTCGAGAAAATTCAAGAGCGATGATTTATTATGACTTTCGAAGTGGTTTAACACAAAAACAGTGTGTTGACCGGATGATTTCTGCATTTGGTGATGAAGCCCCATCCAAAACCACAATTTATCGCTGGTTTGCTGAATTTCAACGTAGACGTGTCAAGCTCAGTGATGATCCCCGTCAAGGTCGTCCAAAAACTGCAGTCACCCAAGAAAACGTTGATGCTGTGCGTAAGCTGATTGAGGAAGATCGACATGTAACATACCGCGAAATTCAGGCAACTTTAGACATTGGCATGAGTCAAATACAAATAATCTTGCATGAACAATTAGGTGTAAAAAAGTTGTTTTCCCGATGGATACCGCATTCGCTCTGTGAAGAGCAAAAAGCGGCTCGCGTTACTTGGTGCATCAGAACTCTCGAAAGGTTCCACGCAGGATCCTCAAATGCTGTATACAACATCGTATCAGGTGACGAATCCTGGATATACGCGTACGAACCCGAAACAAAAAACCAGTAACGAGTTTGGGTGTTCGGAAATGAGTTAAAGCCAACAAAAATTTTCGTTCACGGAGTGTTGCAAAAAAAATGGTGGCCACGTTTGTCTCCAAAACCGGCCATGTTACGACTATTCCTCTTGAGGGACAAAGAACGGTAAACGCAGAATGGTATGCTAGCATTTGTTTGCCACAGGTCGTTTCTGAGCTCCGTAAAGAGAACTGCAACCGCCGCATCATCCTCCATCACGACAATGCGAGTTCTCACACCGCACACAGAACAAAATAGTTTTTAGCAGGGGCGTAGCTACCGCCGTATCAGCCGTATCAATGATACGGGGCCCCCGGGCTACAGGGGCCCCAAACGTGTGTGAGCAAAAATTTCAAGGACTTCTATGGGACAGGAAAGGCTATCACTATTGTCTATAGAAGTAAAGAATTTAGTAAAACTGAAATCGTCTTCAGCTATGAATGAAGCCGAATCGTCTTCAGTTATGTTCGCCGAACAAAAGGCACGAAAAGTGTATATTTGATTTGAATTGTTTGGCTAGCTTGGTTCCTAGGAGTATTAATTGTAAGTAATAACTCAAAAACCCGTGTAGTGGTGGGTAAGAATACTCACTATATCTTCCCGTGGGTGTCGTAAAAGGCGACAGAGGGAAACTGAGGCAGAGGATGGGCAGCAGTATCTTTCTGATAACAGCAAAACAACAATAAAAAAACTGCGGTTGCCAACCCGCACGCCAAGCGTGGCAACTATGGCAATATACCCCCATGAAAGTAACGAAGAGATGGCCCCCAGTCCCCGGCAGCCCCGCTATTCCTGGCTAAGGTGGCGACCATGGTAACAGCGGGGCAGGGGGTGCTAAGAAACTCCGGTGGAGGTTCTGTTGCCACCTACGACGACTCGACCTGGCAACTTATAACGCACGCACCCTGAGGACTGACGAGAAGATCCTGGAGCTGGAAGAAGAGATAGACAAGTTGCGCTGGAACGTCATAGGATTATCCGAAGTCTGAAGAGAGGGGGAGGACACGGTAATCCTCGAATCCGGCAATTTGTTCTATCACCAGGAGGGCGACCATCTGTCCCAAGGAGGTGTCGGATTTATCGTCCACAAGTCTCTCGTTAACAACGTTGTAAATATTGGGAGTGTGTCGACGAGGGTTGCGTACCTTATACTCAGAATCACCAAACGGTATTCGCTGAAGGTCATACAGGTTTACGCATCAACCTCGGCACACGCCGATGAGGAGGTGGAAGAAATGTATGAGGATATCTCTAGAGCCATGCATTCCTCCAAAACCCACTATACGGGATATAATGGGATATAATGAGAAACTTTAACGCAAAACTAGGCGCAAGAGAGAATGGTGAGCTGAAAATAGGGAAATTCGGAATAGGGCAACGGAACCCAAGGGGCCAGCAGCCGACTTCATGGAGAAAGAGGGACTCTTCATGATGAACTCTTTCTTCCAGAAGCGGCTCCACAGGAAGTGGACCTGGTCGAGCCCCGATGGTTCGATAAAAAATGAGATTGACTTCATTATGACTACCAGACGACAACTTTTCAGTGATGTCCCAGTGATCGTGAGGGTGAAAACCGGCAGCGATCACCGAATGGTGAGAGGCACACTGAACCTAAACGTTAAGTTGGAGAGGTCACGTCTAATGAAGTCAATGCTCCGTCCCCCCCGTGCTCTAATCCAAAGTCCCGAAACATTTCAGCTCGAGCTACGAAACCGTTTTCAGTGCCTAGAAGATTGCAATGCAATGGACGATATGAATGACAAGCTCGTGGAAACTGTCCATGCGGTATGCGGTAAACTAAGTTTTACAAGACCCGCCGCAGAAGAACACAAAAACTCTCCGATAACACTCTCATGGCTGTGAGACGGGATATATAGCTGTAGTCTTCAGTAGATTTGACAGCATACAGGCAACTGAACAGACAGATCCCCAAATGCATGCGGCGAGACTTACGCAACTTTAATCTTTAATACTGCTCGTATTAAAGAAACGATCGAGCGGAACCAAGGCTCCAAAGTCTTTGCACGAGATCTGTCTGCCAGAAAGAGCCAACTGTGGAAGCTGAAGACCGAGTGTGGCAGCGTCGTTTCCAGGACACCTTAGTTTTTGAGTGAGATTGAGACGTTCTATCGGCAGCTGTCCACGTCATCGTTGGAGCCACACGTAAGTGTGAGTAACGGGACATATAGTCTGACTAGACTAGACTAGACTCCAACTTCGACCGAGAGGTCAATAGAGGGATTCGACGCGGCTGGGCAGCGTTCGGGAAATTACGGCACATCTTCTCGTCAGGTATACCTCAAAACTTGAAAACGAGACTGTACAACCAGTGCGTGTTGCCAGTGATGACATATGGTACTGAGACGTGGTCGTTCACTGCTGGCCGGATGAGGAAGCTCAAGGTTGCTCAGCGAGCTATGGAGAGGGCAATGCTCGAAGTTTCTCTTCGTGGTAAACTTAGTATTGAGGATATCCGCAGTAGAACCAGAGTCACCGACATAGCCCAACGGATTAGTAAGCTGAAGTGGCAGTGGGCCGGACATACAGCTCGAAGAACCGGCAACCGATCGGGAAAAAACCGTTCTCGAGTGGCGGCCTTGTACCGGCGGACGAAGTGTAGGGCGTCCCCCCACTAGATGGAGTGACGACCTGGTAAGATATGCAGGAAGTCGATGGATGCAGGTGGCTCAGGACCGTGCTTTGTGGCATTCTTTGGGGGAGGCCTATGTTCAGTAGTGGACTTATGAAGGGCTGTCATGATGATGGTGAATAACTTAAAATCAATATATAATCAATTCAATGCAAGCGTTTTTGTTCCATTTATGAAATCTTTACTCATCATTGGGGTGCCCAACACATTTTGATACAGGGCCCGTCGAAGGCACGCTACGCCACTGGTTTTTAGAGCAAGAAAACATAGAATTATTAGACCATCCGCCGTACAGCCCCGACCTAAGCCCTAATGATTTCTATACTTTCCCTAAAATAAAGAATAAATTGCGTGGACAGAGATTTTCATCACCTGAAGAAGCTGTGGACGCCTACAAAACGACCATTTTGGAGACCCCAACTTCCGAATGGAATGGTTGCTTCAATGATTGGTTCCATCGTATGGAAAAATGTGTCAAATTTCGCGGAGAATACTTCGAAAAGCAATAAATACATTTTTAAATAGTAATGTTGTGTCACTTCCTTGATTCCCGAAATTTTCAGTGCCGCCCTCGTAAGCCACAACGTGACCCTAAATAAGTTGAAACTATTGTATAGGAACACTAAGGTATTTAGAGGAGCGCCACTTTCGAGATTTCGCCCCACCTAAAAATTTTGCTAGGGTCGCCACTGAGGCCATCTCGTGAGTACACTACCCTCTTACCTATTTCTGCCGTAAAATAGCAGTGCTTGCACTGCTGTGTTCCGGTTTAAGTGGTATAGAGCGAGTATAGTTACTGGCTATGAGGTATTTAATCTTAGTCCTACGAGGTGACAACGCTATATCCTTTTTTGTTTGAAGTTGACTGCAGGTGTCCATGGACTGCAGTAGCTGCTTACCATCAGGTGGACTGTTAGGTTAGATTGTCACTTCAGTTTCATAAAATAAAAAAAACATCACTCTGTCTTACACCGCTCTACAGTTAAATAGGTTTTGTTCTCGAGTTTTGTTATTTGATAGCTATCGTAGACTTACTGTGCCGACACTTCATCACTTCGATACAGAGACAACCTGACACAGCTGAAGAAGGCTACAGTTGCATTGTCACAACTAAAAATTGCTTGCCTGATATTGAAAAGACTTAAATTCTTAAACTTACATTTGGTGCTTTTGTTGAGATCCAGAAATCATCAAATTCGGGGCGGATCACTAGTTTAGTAATAGTTGAACTATAATAAATTACTTGCATGAGCACAAAAAGAATCTAATCGAATTTCAGTTAAAGCTACACCGTAATAAAATATATAAAAATTATATTATAGGGAGGGAGGTGGTTTAAAAAAAGCCTTTAAATAAAGAAAATTATTATTGTGTAAAATTATCCATTTATTCTTAAAAATTCAAGTTACTTCATAGCTGATGAATCAATAACAGGCAGAATTTTAATACCTTCTCGGTTCACAACTGTCACCTGGAAGTTAGGTAAGCTGACAAATAAACGCTTATGGACTTCTTTGACACACATCTTTAAAATTTCATATGCTTGCTCTTCAGTTAAATCTGTAAAATCAATGTCAGTAATGCTTAACAGAATAAATGTTAATACACATTATAAAAATAGTTTTCAGTAGATTTAGAGTGAGAGGATTAGCACAGAATATCATATCATCTCATCTTATCAAGCATTATATTAATTGTGAAATAAGTCAACCGTTATACATATAACTCTCATATAAATTGCCACAAAATATGACCTGTGTGATATACAGATGTTTTAATACGAAAATTTCTAAGCAAACTTTCTTAGAAATTTTCGTATTATTTTTTATTTTTGTAGGAACATGGTAACTTTATGAATTAATATGAAATTATTGAGTTTGTGGTTTTAAATCTGATAATTGATTTGAATAGGTCTTAGTACTTATGTTCTGCCTAGAATTCAGTCTGAGTAGGTAGATACCACACTCTTTATATTTCTGACGTCAAATAATAGTGTCATTGTATTGTAAGTCCAATGGCTTAACGTGCTTTCCGAGATACGGGGGTGAAACACCACCAACTTCCTAACAGGGTTGTTACTGAGATTTTCTTGATAGAAAAAAAAACCAATAGATGATATTGGCCCGACCCGAGATTCGAACCCGGAACCTCATGATTAGCAATTAGCTTGAAGCCACTAGACAAACGAAACATTGTGTTTGCTAGTACGAGGCTGCCACTTATGCAGATATCCTTGTTATGGATTCTTTCCCATTGATAAATCCCCTTTAATCCTTTTGGTGGAAAGGACTATATTCATATAGACCAGCTGTGAAGAATGACGCTCAGTTCCGTAAGTCATTACTGGCAACACACACTGCTTGTAAGCTTCCATATTAAGGCTCTGAGAAATTACAGACAAGAATATTTGTCTCAGTTTCCTGCAAGCAGCCGAGCTGCTACAGGAAACTTGCTGGTTGTGCTCTTGGTCAAAGTAGAACTTACCTAATATGATTTTTTGCCATAGGTACACATACTTGTCAACAACTTAGATGTTAGACATGATTTTTACCAGACTGCCCAAGAACGAGGTTAATGTTTTTCGAATGTATGTATGTATCTAAGTACGTATGTATGATTATTCCTTGGCTAAAGTTTAAGGCATCAAGATACTTAGGTGTGATGGATTATGACATCATCAACATCTTTATTAGAGCCCTTCACAAGTCCAGTGCTGAACATAGGCCTCCCCCAAGGAATACCACAAAGCACGGTCCTGAGCCACCTGCATCTATCGACTTCCTGCATGTCTTACCACTTAGTCTAGTGGAGGAACGCCCTACACTTCGTCCGCCGGTACAAGGCCGTCACTCAAGAACCTTTTTTCCTCATCGGTTGTCGGTTCTTCGAGCTATATGGCCGGCCCATTGCCACTTCAGCTTTCTAATCCGTTGGGCTATGTTGGTCACTCTCGTTCTACTGCGGATATCCTCATTTCTAAGTTATCGCGCAGAGAATCTCCGAGCATAGCCCTCTCCATAGCTCGCTGATCGACCTTGAGCTGCCTCATGTGCCAGCAGTGAAGGACCACGTCTCAGTTCCGTAGGTCATTACTGGCAACACGCACTGGTTGTACAGTCTCGTTTTCATGTTTTGAGGTATACCTGACGAGGAGATGTGCCGTAATTTCCCGAACGCTGCCCAGCCGAGTAGAATCCGTCTATTGGCCTCTCGGTCGAAGTTGGACTTACCTAGTCGGACTATTTGTCCCAGGTAAACATACTCGTCAACAACTACGAGCTTAGTGCTCCCAACAATTACCGGCATAAGTGTGACATGGACGTTATACATGATCTTTATTTTGACCATGTTCATTTTAAGACCTACGTTGGGAGGCACTATTGAGGTCATAGAGCATATCCTCCAGCGATTCTGCCATAAGGACTATATCCTCGGCAAATCGAAGGTGAGTGATGTACTCGCCGTTGATGTTAATACCGTATCCTTTCCAGTTGAGAAGCTTGAAAACGTCTTCCAATGCAGCATTGTAGAGTTTCGGGAATATAACGTCCACCTGTTTTACACCTCTCTGCAGTTGGATAGGTTTCGTACTCTGGTTCTGTACTCGGATATTCATCGTAGCCCTACTGTGCAAACACTTCAGCACTTCGACATACCGACAGTCAACTTGGCACCGCAGAAGGGAAAGCAACACCGCCCAAATTTCGACGAAATCAAAGGATTTCTCATAGTCCACATACGCCAGACATAGTGGAAAATTGTACTCCTCGGACTTCTGTACAATTTGCTGAAGGATATGGTATGTGGTCTATGGTGCTAAAGCCTTTTCGGAAACCGGCTTGTTCGGGAGGCTGGAAGTCGTCGAGACTGCATGCGAGACGATTCGTAATGACTCTGATCGTCTACTGCATTGCAAACTTCTAGGCACTGAAAACGTTTTTAGCTCTAGCTGAAAGGTTTCAGGACTTTGGAACAGAGCACGAGGGGGACGGAGCGTTGACTTCATTAGACGTGATCTCTCCAACTTAACGTTTAGATTCAGTGTGCCTCTAACCATTCGCTGATCGCTGCCGGTTTTCTCCCTCGCGATCACTGAGACATCACTGAACAGTTGTCGTCTGGTTGTCATAATGAAGTGAATCTCATTTTTTGTCGAATCGTCGGGGCTCGACCAGGTACACTTCCTGTGGGGCCGCTTGTGGAAGAAAGAGTTCATCACAAAGAGTCCTTCTTTCTCCATGAAGTCGGCCAGCTGCTGGCCGCTTGGGTTCCACTCACCATTCTCTCTTGTGCCTAGTTTTGCATTGAAGTCTCCCATTAACACCTTATAGTGGGTTTTGGAGTAATACGAGGAATATTTCCTCCCCCTTCGCATCGGGATGTGCCGAGGTTGGTGCGTAAGCCTGTATGACCATCAGCAAATACCGTTTGGTGATTCTGAGTATAAGGTACGGAACCTTCGTCGACACTCTCAATCTTTACAATGTTGTTAACGAGAGACTTGTGGACGATAAATCCGACACCTCCTTGGGACAGATGGTTGCCGTCCCGGTGATAGAACTAGTCGCCTGATTTGAGGATTACCGTGTCCTCTCCCTCTCTTCGGACCTCAGATAATTCTGTAATATCCCCGCGCAACTTGTCTATCTCTTCTTCCAGCTCCAGGATCTTCTCGTCAGTCCTCAGGGAGCGTGCGTTATATGTTGCCAGGTTGAGTCGTCTTAGGTGGCAACCGAACCTCCCCAGATATTCTTAGCACCCCCTGCCCCACTGTTACCATGGTCGCTACCGTAGCCAGGAATAGCGGGGCCGCCGGGGAGTGGGGGCCGTCTCTTCGTTACTATCATGGGGGACATATTGCCATAGTTGCCACGCTTGACGAGCAGGTTGGCAACCGAGGTTTTTTAATGTTGTTTTGTTGTTATCAGAAAGATGCTGCTGCCTATCTTCTGCCTCAGTTTCCCTCTGTTGCCTCTTACGATACCCTCGGGGAAGATATGGGGAGTGGGTATTCTTACCCGCCACTACACGGGGGCTACAAATACGACTACGGGGACTATGGGGGGATTATGACATATGAAGTATTATTAGATTTGTGGAAAAGACATATTTGTATTTTTCTCTTTTCACTAAACTTTTTAGGCAGTTGGGTTTCTTTAATTACTGTTTTAACGATTGGGCATGTTTTCCATGTTCATCTTTAGATAGCAGCATAGCATAGTGCTATGGTACGGGAATTCTGCCATAATGATTATATTGTCAGCAAATCGAAGGTGAGTGATATATTCACCAGTGATATTGATCCATAATCATAATCTACATAGGGTTTTACAAAAATTGTTTACCTTTTTTATGGTAACGATCCATAATACTCAAACTTAAAAAGCCTCCAAACCCATGGGCTGCAAATGGCACCCTTACACTGGATGCCAAATAATCCATGAAATATAACTCTGGGCCGTTTTCTTTATCATAACCACCCAATAATATATTTACAAAATATGGCGTCTGCAAATAAAAAATAAAGTGTTAGTGGTTATACAAATCAAAATAATGTTAAATTGGTGTTAAAGTGTTATGACTATAGTATTTTTATACTATTTAATGAATTATTTTCATACTTTTACAGAAAAATGTCAAAGCAACATCGGATAATTGTCTTGTAGCACATGCACTTAGTGTAGGAGGCAAATAACAGGAACAGCATTACTTTAGTATAAGGGTATCACTCTGTTCATTAATTTGCAGACAATACAGATCCATTGTCTGATAGCTTTTGTATGATTTGGATCTTATATAAGCTATCTTTTTTTTACAACTACAATTGTACAATGTAAAAGAGATTTTAGAATAAAATGGATTTTTTTATCAATATTGATTATAAGAAATTATTATTTAAAGCAGTTTTTACTTTTATTACAGGTTTGGATAAAAACTCTATAATCTTGTCTATTAACCGTATCTCCACCTATTTTTTTTAAATACTAAAAATTTCTGATAGGTAACTGTTTTTTCTCTAATTAAATCCTTTACTTAAGAATTACACCCATTCTTGAAGTCCTTCTGAGAACAGGTACACATTTAAGAGGCGGACAAAAATAAAAAGAGGCCTAACTACTACATACTACTATTATTTGCTTCCAATAGCTACGACTAAAAAATACATACAGGTTCCCTAATTACAGTTTCTTGTATTATACTAACTTAGCTTGTCTCACCTACGATAACTAAAAACCCTAGAGATAAATTGATCAAAATGTATGGAAACAACTTAAGACAATTGCATGCCGAGCGCAAAGCGCATAGGTATGTTCTACTAGTGCCTAAAAATCAAGATTCCAACGTTTTGTCGCATGAAATCGTATCCAGCAATCATATTATACAAATAAATGATATAAAAAGCACATTGTCAGAAAGATAAATGGTTGTTGAACTTATTAATATTTTTTTTAAATCACTTAATTGCTATTTTTACATAAAAAAGGGGTTTTAGTGGCTTATGGTGTGGATTTATTAAGTCCTTGTGGCTTGTAAACACGATAACTTTTGAAAATATCAATTGTTTAACTCAATCTATTTTTTAATCTCTTCATCTATCATGTGGGAAGCCACTGAATGTAAATGGCAGTGTAATTTTGTTTTGTTTAGCTATAATTAATTTTTTCGGCTCCAAAATGCCGAAATTTTCGATGATTTCGCAGCCTTGTGTTAGAATTTATTTCAGTAAACAGAGACTGCCTGTGCCTCGCTCACTCGCTCGCTTAGTTCGGCGTTAACCGCGGTTGTGAGTGGATACTGTATTGGTTGTTTGCAGCGGCTCAAAAAGATCGCTGTATAAATAAATACAAAATATTCGAAAAACAAATTTTATACATACTTGATTATTATAAAAATCAGAGATTTTTGAATTGATTGATTCTTGAATACGTCTTGGACTTTTTGGAGTGACATGAATGATGATATGATGATCATATGGGTATTATGAGTTGTGCACTGGATTTTCCAAACGTTTTCAAGTTTGACATAAAATTATCGGAAAATTGGAAGTATAATAAGGTTATTAGTGAAAATTTGTGTGTATTTAAACTACTTTAAAAAAATCCGTATAATCATGCTATACGTAATTTTTTTAATGCGAAGGCATGCTCAATTGGTTTTACCAATAGTTTTATTATATTTGTAAACTATGCCTAGTGAACATAGTTACAAAAATTAAGTTTACTACCTAACTTTTGCTTGGGATATCATCCAGCTTTTTTTATAATCATGCACAATGACTAAGTGACATACACATACTGATTAACACATGTATGCAAAGTTAGGAAACAATGACTTAAATTTTGCCGACTACCTTCTGCTCATTGTTTCTGTATGTTTTATTAACCTAAAATGTGTGTCATCATCATTACAGCCTTTCACAAGTCCACTGCTGAACATAAAGCATGGTCCTGAGCCACCTGCATACATCGACTTCCTGCATGTCTTACCAGGTCGTCATTCAAGGTTACACTTCATCCGCCGGTACGAGGCCGTCACTCCAGAGCCTTTTTTCCCCATCGGTTGTCGGTTCTTCGAGCTATATATCCGGCTCATTGCCACTTCAGCCTACTAATCCATTGGGCTATTTTGGTCACTCTGGTTCTACTGCGGATATTATAATTTCTAAGTTTATCACGCAGAGAAATGCCGAGCATAGCCCTCTCCATAGCTTGCTGAGCGATCTTGAGCTTTCTCATTTGGCCAGCAGTGAAGGACCACGTCTCAGTTCCATAGGTCATCGCTGGCAACACGCACTGGATGTACGGTCTCGTTTTGAAGTATACCTGACGAGGAGATATGCCATGATTTCCCAAACTCTGCCCAGCCGAGTTGAATGCGTCGATTGACCTCTCGGTCGAAGTTGGGCTTACCTAATCGGACTATTTGTCCCAGGTAAACATACTCGTCAACAACTTCGAGATTGGTGCACCTAACAACTACCAGTATAGGTGTGACGTGGTCGTTATACGTGATCTTTATTTTGGTCATGTTCATCTTAAGACCTATCCATTGGGAGACACTATTGAGGTCATTGAGCATACTGCTTAGGTCCTCCAGCAATTCTGCCATAAGGACTATAATGTTGGCAAATTGAAGGTGAGTGATGTACTTGCTGTTGATGTTAATACTGTATCCTTTAAAGTCCAGAAGCTTGATAACATCTTCCAATGCAGCGGTGAAGAGTTCAGGGATTTAAGTTGTCAAAAAAAAAGTATAAAAACCCAATAAAATTAACAAGTTAGATAGCAACTTTTTGATTATCCTAAACAATTATGTTGCTGAGCAGAAATCCAATTAATTGTGTACCAGTTAATGCTGCTGCCGGCTACAAAATCTGGGTTAGAATGAAATGCATAGTTTCATTATTATTTTGTATGCATAGAGCATTAAAGTGCTGATTATTTTTTATGCTACAATATTTTTGTGCAAACAACAAAATAGTGTTATATAATATAATAGTAATATATAATGTTGTATCTTACACATTGAGAATAATAAATTAAGTACATACAATATTTAGATTCATGTAGAGTATTTATCTTTATACATTAAAAAATTGTTGGTTAGCAGTAGTGGTTAGTCGTAATTGTTGATTGGTGGGCAAATTCTGAATGACTTGACTAATTGAGGTCATAAAAGTCAATTGGTCATAACTATGCTAGGATCTGATAGATGGGGCTGCATTTAAGTTCTCAACAAATTATATACTTATGGACCAAAATAACAATATATTATTTAACTAGCTGGCCAGGCAGACGTTGTTCTGCCCTCTCCGACATCCCTGTCCTATAAAAATTCTTAAATTCGTAATAAAAAATATTGAGGGTCACTTATAGGGATAAAAACTATTCAACCTCACAAGTTGAACCAAACTGCACACCGTGTGCAAATTTCAATACAATCAGTTTAGTAGTTTAGGAGTTCATTGCAGACAAACAATGTGACACGTAATTTTTATATATAAAGATTATGTTACAATATATTATGTTAGTTACTAAACTTAGTGCCAGAAACAGAAAATCCAAAATCTGGCTCCAGTTATAGGTCCATGTGTGTAGTAGTTGTAGTAAACTACGGCCAACTAGCCACGATACGAAAGGTCATTTACCTTAGAAACGACTGTGGAGTTGACAATCTATTATCTATCTCTTTCCATCTTGTGTTGTTTACAGATACCTCAGTAATATCCAGACTAAATTTCAATACGAACCATCGCATTATCAGAGCATCAATTAAAATGGCGCCTCCTAAGACTCATAGAAAACACATTACTCTGTACAGCGGAACCCATATCACAGGAACTAAGGAATCAACCTCATGTACATTTGCAATTCAGATGAGACATAATGAAGAAATAGAAGGACCTGACATAAGGAACAATTATACCAAACTTCAAAATCAATTTATTCATGCGAAAACTAGAAAAGAGACGAAGCAAAAATATATTTTGAGTGATTCTACTTCATCTTATAAATAAAAGAAAAAGTCTAATTGCCGACAAAAACGGCAAACGGAATGTGAAAGAAATAACTGAGTTAAGTAAGAAAATAAGAGAAGGCATACGCAAGGATAGGAAAACCAGAAGACTAAAAACACTAGAAAAACACATCATTGCTTCAGGCGGAACAAAAAAAGCTCTTAAAGAACTCCGTGAAACCACTTGCTGGATGCCTAATCTCAAAAGCAACGAAATTAGCATCACAAACCGCAAAAGTATAATAAAAACAGCATCTGATTTATACAAGAAGCTCTATTCCAACCCAGATATCACCGAAAGTAAAAAGTGCGAAAAATGCGAGACGACCATATACCCTATATAACTTAGAACCAGAAATATTACAAAGTGAAGTTAGGAAAACTATACTAAGCCAAAAAGCCGGATAAGGCATCAGGCCCGGACAAGATCACGAACGAACTACTGAAAGAAACCCTAAACGAACTTGTGCCTGCTCTGACAAAAATCTTCAACGATATCCTAATATCAGAACAGATACCTAAACAATGGGAAACCTCTCACATAATTCTTATACACAAAAAAGGCTAAAAAAATGACTTATTGAACTACAGACCAATAAGCCTGAAGTCGAACATATATAAGGTCTTCTTCAAGATATTACTAGTTCGAATAAGCATCACATTGGACGAAAACCAACCAATGGAACAGGCTGGATTTAAGAAAAAGTTTGCAAAAATAGACCATATACATACAGTTAAACAAATCATAGAAAAGCACAGTGAATATAACAAACCAGTGTACATGGCCTTCATTGATTACACCAAAGCTTTCAATAGCATTAAACATGAAGAAATTTGGGAAAGCTTAGAAAAACAGGGATATCCAGAGCTTATATAAACATCATTACAGTAAAGTTATCTTAAAGTTATTTAAAAAACAGGAACTGTAATAGTAAAAATTTTAAAAAGTTAATGCATTATTAAGTGACAGTATGGCTAAAGTCACGTCTGATCGGTGGAAGAAATGTGTGGAGCATGTTCAAAAAGAAGAAGATAAGTTTTTCAAACTTCATTTTATTGTAGATGACGTGACGGATAAATTTAGTGTTACATACTCTGGTTCTGGCTCTACAGACTCAGAAGAATCGGCGTCTGACTGAATAAACAATGATTTCCTCAAAAAAATATTTGGTAAGACTTGCCATTGACATCTGTCGAGTTGGGGATTGATATTCTTTTTACAGAAAGGTTACATTATTATAAGCACACATGCAAAGTTTCAACATGCGGAAACGCATACTTTTGATTTACAATAATTTTTTTTCTCAAAAATTACACATTTCCACATGTTGAAACTTTGTGTGTGTGCTTATAATAGTGTAACTTTTCTGTAAAATTATGTATCAACACCCAACTCGACGGACGTCAATGGAAAGCTAAGCTAAATATTTTTATCCTCATTTCCATAAACATAACATAACATATCATCAGTCCTGTATCCCCTAAGGGGTAGGCAGAGATATTAACACCCACATTTTACCTGATATATTTAAGTCCCTATGTAACAGGGGGCAAGCCTGTTACCATACACCAAGCACACAGTTGTTAGGCAAGTGAAATTCAGAAACATTATTATTATTCTCGTTATTTAATTTAAATCTAAATTATACAATAATTCAAATTATAACAAAATTTAGTCAATTTTTTTGGTTTACTAGACATTTTTTAAAACTATATTGTCTTCTTAAATATATAATCTAACTATCAAAAAGTTAGACACCCCTGCTATTCCTAATAATCTTGCATTGGTTTTGTTTAAATTTGGTATCACGTCTCGTTGGCCGTACTCAAACCAAATTCATTGCAACACCAGAAAGGGCAGAACAAGGGCTTCTACCAGCTAGCTAGCTAGTTTGATTATATAAAATTGACACAAATAAAATTAATTTACTGTGTGATTTAAGGAGAGCGTTAAAAATATTTTTGGGGTTGGTTAATGATTAACCACCCCCTGACGAATGAAGGTTTTGTTTGTATTATTGATAAAAATTAATAACTAGAACTTACACTACTTCTCAGGTATTCAGCAAGGTTGCGACGAGTAAAATTGGCCGCAGCTGTTGGACCTAGTTCGTAACCATTGCGCATTTTATAAAGTTGAATATTCTTTGCAATATATTCTGCAAATTGAGTTGTATCGCCAGAATCACCGACTACACCCATCACAAGCTTGTCAGATATTCTGTATATCTTTTCTTCGTCTATAAAATAATTTTTTATCAACTAAAAACACTAAATTCTATACGAAATACTACAGCCAACTTCGGGTCAACTTACCATCTTTCATTACCATAATACTATGACTATTGGTTTGATCGGCAGCTATCATTACAAAATCATTGCACTGAATACCCAAAAGACATTGTAAATTAATATTAGACATATTTAATTATTACAAGTTAAACACCGCAAAGGAAAATAATTTATACGCTCAGTTTAAATACGAATAACCTTGCTATTCGAAAACTTGTCAAATCATTTATTCATTCATAGACTCATCGAGTTATGCTGTTACTAATTACTATTTCTCTATTGAGGCAGGCAAACATCTTAGACCATACAGCCTAAATCATGTGTATATATTTTATTACTAAATACTTCGCAATATGCTGATGCGTCATTCATTGCAAAATTGCCAGGAGAATTTTTATGACAGCTTAAGCAAGTGGACAGTACTATCTCAAGCCGATAAGCGAATAGAAAGTATTGTAAATTATATCACCATTAACGGAATTGTAACATAGTTCACATGCGCAGATATTTAATATACAAAACCGTATCCTTTTTACGAATTAAAATCCCTCTTTGAACTATTGTCATATGAGCTAGAGATAAATAGTTTTGATACAATCTGTTTCAGCAGCAACATGTTGCATTGCACAATTACAAAACACGCATTGTATTGTATCGGTAACTTCCAAGTAATCAATTTGAAATAATCTGTTTGTTGATGACTTAAAATATTTGGACGTCTAATATTTAAACAGAGATCAAAGTCTTAAGTGTATATTCTAATTATTTCAGACAATCATTAGTCTACTGGTAAACATGGGCAAGCCCCATAGATTACGTAATACGGGTGATACTTGCTCGATTGTCAAGCGCAGTTTTTAATAATGTTATTGAGTTATTATCAGGAAGATGCTGCTGTACCACCCATCTTCTGGTTTAGTTTCCTCTGGCACCTTTTACGACATCCATCGGATGATATAGGGGCGGTAAAGTCTTTAAGTCACTATAAAAATAAATTTAATCACAGAATTTAATAGATTATCCGATGTAATATATTTGTTGATATTATTGTTACTGTTTTTGTGTTTATTGTTTTATTTGTCTTTTGTGTCAGTATCGTATAACTTGTGCATGAAATGTCTAATTATGTTAAATATTAACAGAAACGATAAAACAAATGTTCCAACGATGATATAAACCTCATTTTATACATACGTGATATAGCCACGGTGCAGCTATAATATTGTCCTCCAGACCAGATTTTGGTGACAGCGGCCAGTCTTAACGGAGACTAACTATATACACATGACAGGATTATAGTGATAGTGGCAAGACATAGATTACCTCCTAATAGATTCCGCATACAGGGCGACAAACGCGCGCAATACATACTTGCTGTAGCTAGCATACGAAGTGACGCTAAGAATCACGACATCAGTATCGACCAAGTGTGTGATCCGTAGGCACGTCCGAGTTCTTGACAATTTAAAAATAGTTTTGTATCCAAAATACATTACAAATGGCTTTCTATGCAGTAAAATGGTGTAACAAGTCAGCTAAGACATCCAGTAATCAAAAAGATGGCATAAATTTTAATTGGTAAATAAATTCTATTCTTATCACGTTAACCTATTTCAAATGCACCGGAGATCCACTTATACTGGAATGTAAATAGTGCAAAGTGATAACAATTAAGCACCCGTTGATGTCTTTTTGAAATGTCCCTTTCACTCGTTACGTAAATTACAATAGTTGTCTTTGTCTAACAACAGCACGTGTATCGATAGTGTTGTGATTTTTAAGTCGATATTTGTTTGGTCATAGTTTAATTATTTTTTTCGAAGTCATATTATTTTATAAAAATAAGTGACGTATCATTGTGGTACCTATATGTTATAGGTTTTCTAAATGCCCCGAAAGGAAAAAAGATATGGATCGACGCAAATTGTCGAGGGGACGAATGGTTTCCCAACAAAAATAGTGTACTATGCTCAAAACACTTCACAGAAGACAATCTTCATGATATTATGAAAAACCGGATAAGACTGTTGGATTCCGCTATACCATCTCTATACTTGCCAGTTTTGGTATGGACTTTTGCAATTTTTTTAAAGATTAGTACTAACGTAGATTACACAATAATATCATGAAGTAGTTGAGTGAAACATGATATTCTTATATTTAGGGGAATGTTACACGTTGAAATCAAGCTATTTTTAACGGATTTATAAATCATAAAACATGTAAAAGTTATTATAGGATTATTGTTTTGACTTGGTATTTAGTGTTACATGAACTTCAGTATTACCTTATTATAATTACTAAGTACATCCAAATTTGGAAGACGTGCCGTATGGTGTATTAATTAATAATACTATATCGGTAATGTTTTAAAAGAAACGAATATGTATTTCTGATTTAGATAACTGGTTCACCGCTGAAAGACGCGAAAACCACCCAACACCTAAAAATCAGAGTCATGCCTTAGAAATACCTACAAAACAAAAAAAGAAAATTTTCTCCTATACCTGATACACCATCTGCATTTGATACTCCAGTTAAAATCATCTTTGTAGAAGAATCATCGAATTAACCAACGTAATGAACCAAAAAGATAAAAAAGTTAAAAAGTTAAATGATTCCAACAGAAGACTAAAAGACAAATAGTTTCTTTGAAGTCATTATTGGTAGAATTAGAAAACAAAAATTCATTAACAGCTGAAATCAATGACGCATTAAGTTCCTTAGAAAAATCAAAATCTAGAAAATCAGGCAAAATTGTTAGAAAAAAATATTCACCACAGTTGAGAGCTTTAGCACTCACCATAAATTACTCAGCTAAGGCTTATAAAACATTTAATACTTCTTTACCCTCTGTAAAAACACTAGGAAAGTGGTACAGATCTGTAGATGGTCGCCCAGGGTTTTAATACACACATTAAGCAGTTTTGTTTATGAGGATATTTTTTATGAAATAAAAAAATCACCAATTCGATCACGAAAGTTGTAATCATGTCATTGATTTAGCTAAGAGTGTTATGGAAAAATACATAGACATACTCGTAAGATTACTCTACTTATCCAGGAAGACAGATCCTAAGAATTGTGTGAGACAATTTTATACTAAGATTATCCATTTTAAAAATCAGTCATATATTTATATATTTATAAATTAAATGTACAAATATATGTATACATTGTTTAATTTTTTAATAAACATCAAATAAAAATTGATCAATATATTTATTTATCATTATCAATAATCAATAAATCCCAAATTTATCGATCAACGTCTCAACCCTGTTCCATCACTATGGTTTGGTACATTCTAAGTTTGACCTTTAAATATCCAATCACAGCGCATTTGCCACGTCCCCCGCAACCCTTGCATAAGACCAAATTTGGTGAACTCGAAACAGAACAAATATTCAATGATGCGGTATCTATTAGGGGGTAATCTGTGTGGCAAGAAGACAGAATATCGTTTCTGGCATCCTTGTTCTTGTATTCTTTGAGCCCTACGTCCCAAAGAATTACTTCTGCCTCATATAATTCTACGAATTTGAGAGTATACCACTCAATCCACTTTCTTAGTTAGCAGTTCTTAAGGGCTGCACAATGGACGCATCAACATATTGTGAAGCAGTGTACTATGAAGGATAATTATACATTGTAACTTCAGTCTCAGAAGGATTAGAACCCAGAGCCGTAAAGCAGTTACAAAACAAAAAAACATAGATGCATATTTCATATATCATAGATAATTATATATGTAGCTAGCTAGCCTAGCTATAGTAAATATACCGTAGATAGAGGATTGACTAGATAAAGCATTCGCGTATGCTTTTGAGATAGAAATAGGCGGGAGGTACTTTCACTGGGTTACCAGATATTGTTCCATTTCCCCCGTTATAGGTTTATTTATATTCACAGTACTTACACTCATACAAAAAACTTAATTGTTACCATAAAAAAAATGTTCTTTTATAATTCAGATGATTAATTAATTTCTCTTGAAAATACATTCTGTGACAAAAACTACGGGCGGAAACGGCGTACAAGAGAATTTGTCTGTACACGGGATGATATTACCCCGCGTCGTAAGCAATAATACAAGATGGGGCAGCAGCACTTTCCCGATGAAAACTTAAAATAAAAAAACTGCGGTGGCCAACCAGCATAACGCATATTTTCACGCAGGCGTGGCAACTATGGCAAGTCATCCTATGAGGATATCTATGGAAGGCCTTTTTTAGGTGACTTACTTATGGTTAGGTGGCTTAATCATGTTACCTAATGGTTAAGGTGGTAAAATGTTTTAGTTAATATACGTTGTAAAGCATCAACAAAGGATTTTTTTTGTAATATGTTGGTATATAAAATAAAAACGAATGTTTTATAATATTCTATTTTAATTTACCATGCAGTGTAAGATTATCTGCTACCTCATATCATTCCATGGGTGGTGTATGAGGCGACATAGGGAAACATCAAAGAAGATAAACAGCAGCATTGTCCTGATAACAGCTAAATAATGGTTGACAACTCGCTTTCCAAGCGTTGAAACTATGCCAAATAACTATAATAATGTTTATGTTCAACAGTGGACTTTTGATAGACTGTAAAGATATATATTTTATTTAAATGAAAATATATTGAAATTTAAAAAGGAAAAAGAACTAAATTTTGTGTACTTACACAACATTTAGAAATATTAACAATGTTACATTAAGTAAAACAAATGAAAACACAATTATATATTAAATATAATTCAATAAAATTAAAATAAACAAACGATTATTTATTAATTTTTCATCACAGTAATAAACAACAAATTTAACAAAATTTTTGTCTTCTTTCTAGAGCATTCGTTGTAATTCTTGGTTTGAGTAGCCTTAGAATTTCTCAAAAATATGCATTTGTAAACTTGATTTATACTTTTGCATGGCAGAAATTCTTGGATGCTGGTCATTACAATCAGATTAGAAGGGAGTGTATATATATATATATATATATATATATATATATATATTATTTGCCTTGTATATAATATATTTTAATGGTATAAATAATAAGGTACAACTCCTAAACTATACTTAGATAGGTAATAATTATCTCTTATTTCTTAATTAATATTATAAATTATTATTTCTTAATTTATTTACACATTAATATTTATAACACCTTTATAAAAGGGATTAAGGGTGGACTAAATGTCCCATTGGTAGGCATTCCCAGTCAGTTTTACAATTATTATTGCATAATAAATTATTCATTTGTATATTTAGGTCAGGATTTTAAATTACTTATTTATTTATTTTATTTAAATCTTTATTTGCATAAAACATGGTAGTACAGATAAAGTTCCAACATTTGTAAATGAGGATTCATGTTTAATCAATACATCTATAAGTAAATATTTTGTCATTGTCATGCCACCCAATTATTACAAGTCATAATAATACAGAATGTCATCATTTGAAAATAAAATAAGCAATGCTAGTCAATTTTTAATACATACAGAACAATGTCAAAAATCATAACTACCAACAAGATCAAACTTATATCACTTATGGAGAAACAACAAGATACAATAACAAATTATAACATTTAAAAAAATTATCTTAATTATATTATAAATTACATAAGTTAAGCATATTTAGTCCACCTAAAACAATGAGGCTTAAAATGTTTTGAGCATACACTGCTAAGTTTTATTGGTTACCTATAAGCACTACCAGTAGCGATTATCCAACTGTTACGGATAGCTGATTCCTTAGGAAAGCTGTGAAATAATATATTTAAAAGAAATTAATATATTAAATATTTAAAACACTTTTATATCAAGGTATTAACAAAAAAATCAAGTATGTGTATCTGTGCATAAATACAATACCTATAACAATTAAAACAATATCAATTGATTTAATTAAATAGCAAGTATATGTGAATGTAATGATAATATTATTCATACCAAACATTTAAAAAAATTATGTACATATTAAGCTTTAGATATTGTTAATTAATACATTTACAGCCTAACAAATGTCTTCCACCGCTGAACATAGACCCCCCACACAGTTTGTTTCCAAATAACTGCAGTTGCCAATTGTCCTGCTGAGCTAGGCAACTATCACAAAACCTATAACTTTTGATACTGACTAATGGTAACGGTAAGTATATTATCATCAAATTTTTTCTACATCATTAATTGAGAATATTATCTAATGCTGTTGTGTTATTGTGTACCTTAACATTAAGACTTATTTATTTATTTATTATTTTATCTATATTTATATTTATTTTTATATTAGCATGACATATTTTTTTTAATAAATATTGTAATATAATTGTTGCTAATGTATAATAGAGTTAATGGAATGCAATAAAGTTTTGTGCATCTGATTTCAGGCAATACATATTTTGTGAAATTAAATATACTTTGCCCAATATTTATGTACTTGAATCCAAACATGTTTTCAGGTTGATACATACATATTATTTGTGACGTCTATGTAATATGGAAAATGATTGAAGAGTTGTAGGGTAATAAGGAGTTTCCTTTAAAGCTGAACATAAAAGTGTATGTATATGTATAACATTATGTGATTCATATTTTATGGACATAACTACTAATCACAATAACAATTATTATTGAATAATGCGAAAACATTATTGTACTCGCTGATATCCCTAAAGTTTCCATAATACTACCAAATCAAAAAGTACACGTTTGTTATGAGTTTAAGCTTTCGAATGACCGTTCAAATTAAGGAGCATTATCATGAAGAATTTACAATCTGGGAGTCCAAATATTTGACAAAACACATCACAAAGTTCATTAAAAAAATGAAATGTTACACTTTATATTCAAAACAATAGATATTAATCAGTACAAGTAGCAAATGTAAGCACAAAACAAACTTACCGATGAAAGGTAATATTATCAATTTTTCGTTGACTGATGCTGTTGCATCCTAAAATGCTACATCTTTTTCACCTTACCTAATAACTAAGATCCACATAAAACACTAAATTCAATTACCTGTTTGCTTATAATATCAATATTATTCAAAAGAGCTTGACATCGTTAACGTCAAATAAAGGAGGGAAAACAATCAAAAACGCATACCTAGAAAAAGACAAGAAATATAGATTTGCTTCTCCCTTACTCTTATGTCTAACTATATACGTGCATTCCTTTCACACGCTGATGACGTCACTGAATGTTTAGTCTATAAGATACTATGTCTATGAAATATACAAGCGTTGAGCATAGAAAATAGACTTTTTATAACAGCAAATCTAGGACAATAAATGGCGGAATCGGCCGCAAGGCAGGGTTAAATAACGTCATCTTAAAAATGTTTCCCAGAATACGAAACAATTTCATTTATGAATGACACTTAGACTTACACTTCGCTGAGTGAAAAAGAGATAGGCAGCAAATATTATTTTCTATGCTCAAAGTATACTAGCTATAGCCGAATTAAAGGAGTTTTGGCGGGAGCTTGACCGGCGGCGGTTTGCTGCTCCTGTTTTATTATTTAAATAATGGTTTGAAGTGGACTTTGATATGTAAAAGTGGTGCGTTTTTGTGTATTAAGTATCTGCGCATGTGAACTATTATTGGAAACTGTGAAACAAGTGTTCTGATAATGATGTGATTCTCAAAATAAGGTGCCTGTCTGCGTAGGTGCCTTGAGATACCATCGCCAACCGTCAGCTGTCTGCTGGCTCAAGTTACCGTCAAAATCTCCCAAGGGCTGCACAATGTGACGTATCAACATATTGTGAAGCAGTATACTTTGAAGAATTATTATTATATTATAATATTGTAACTTCAGGCTCAGAAGGGCTAGATCCCAGAGCCGTAAAGCCAGTTATCAAGAAGAAGAAGCTAAATTAAATTTAAAGGTTATATTATGTACATACTCTAAATATTATTATTTAAATCACATTTTAAATCAATTTATTTATACTTATAATTAAGTTATTTTAAGATGTTTAAGAAAGTTGCAATAGGAATATCTGGAGGTGTTGATAGTGCAGTTGCGGCTCTTCTTTTAAAAAGATCAGGTTCTCTTTATTTTGCTATGAATTGCATTATAGGCTGTTTAATTTACATCATAACAATTGTATTTGCTTTGCAAAAATCAAGACTAATTTATTTCCTTTAATGATTTTAGGGTTTATTGTTGAAGGAGTATTCATGAAAAACTGGGACAATAACTATGAAGCAGGATTTTGTTCAGATAAAAAAGATTTTGAAGATGCCGCATTTGTCTGCCGTAAGCTCAGTATTCCTTTGCATAAAGTACACTTTATTAAGGAGTATTGGAATGAGGTGTTCACTGTGTTATTACAAGAATACGAAACAGGATTAACTCCTAACCCTGACATACTGTGCAACCGATATATTAAATTTGATAGTTTTTTTGAACATTGCAGGAACAATTTAGGAGTTGATGCTATAGCCACTGGTCATTATGCTAACACCTCTTTTGGTCCTTTTCTAGAATATTATAAACACAATGAAGGTATAGTTTTATACATTTATTATATATTAGTAAGCTAAATATGTTATTGTCTTGTTGTTTGAGATAATTTATTCTTAAGTATATTGGTTTAATATTCTATTAAAACCTTGATAAATTTGTAATTTTAGGTGTAAGACTTTTACAGCCTGTTGATAAGCACAAGGATCAAACATTCTTTTTATCACAAGTGAAGCAACTTGCACTTAGAAAATGTATGTTTCCAATTGCAAATATGTTAAAAACAACTGTAAGAGATATAGCTAGAAAAGAGGGATTATTACAAATTGCAAATAAAAAAGACAGTACTGGAATTTGTTTTATAGGAAAAAGGAGATTCCAAGATTTTATTGATGATGTATGTTAACACTTATTTATAATTTTAAGGTATTTGACAAAGTTAATATATTAATTTCTGCTCAAACTTGTTTTGCAGTTTATTCAAACTAAAAAAGGTCTCTTCATAGACATTGACACTGGGCAGGTTGTAGGGGAACATGAAGGAATACACAAGTGGACGGTTGGACAAAGGTGCTGTCTATCAAATTGGAGACATCCTTATTTTGTGTTTAAGAAGGACTTAGATACAAATGATATTTATGTGGTAAGTGTTATAAATTACTGCTTAAGTTGCTTAAAAAAACTATCTTGTAATATTTTTAAGTATTATTATAGTTTTATGTGTAGAGTTCTCTCTTTTACACAACCTTAACATATATAAGTGGATACTGTTCATTTCAAGTAATTTATTATGACTTGAGTGTTGTTTTATTGGCTGACATGATAACAATGTATTGATGCCAATACAATGTCACTGATATTGGGGCAGGGGAATGTATGGAGTGACTTGTGATCCATTTTCATTGACCTACAGCTATATAACATTGCTGACAGGTTATTGGCAACAACATGTTGGTAACTATGTCTGCTTCCCACACAATCATCTTGATAAAATTTAGAATATGTTATGAAGCACTTCGACTTCACTTATCAAAGTCATAGAGGATGTAAGAAAAGGCTTGGATGCCAGAAATTAACATTGGTGGTGCTTGTGCACTTTTCAAAAGCTTTTGACACAGTTGATTATGGTACTCTATAATCAATCCTTAAACATCTTAAATTTTCATCCCTAGTCCTGGAGTGGTACTCTTATTTTCGCCGCTGCCTGCAATCGGTTCACTCAGGTCTGGTCTTTACTGCATTGGCTTGAAATCTGTTGTACCCCAAGGAGGAATACTTTATCCTATTATGTTTTCATTATTTATAAATTCTATCTCCTCATTTTTGGATTATTTGTACCATGTGTATGTGGATGATCTTCAGCTCTATGTACAGGCTGGCGTAAATAGTCTTAACTTGGTTATACAAAAACTAAAGAAACAACCTAGTAGCCATAAGAGAAGCCAAATGTAAAGTGATAATCTTCGGAAGTTCGCAATTATTGGCTAAGGTTGATTATGGGAATCTCTCTCCTGTATGTTATAATAGAACTTTGATTCCATATTGTGATTCCATCAAAAAATCTTTACTTATACATGGATAAAACAATGACCAGGAAATTGCAGATCTTTGAAGTAAGTCATCCTACTTTTTATAACCAAGCTTAAGCTGGTTCATTCCCTCATTCTACCTATTATAGATTATGCAGATGTATGTTACCCAGATCTGTTCCAAAAACTAAACAAGTTGGAGTGCCTTCATAATAATTCCTTAAAGTTTATTTTCAGTTTACGTAAGTATGACCACATATCTTCCCATTGTTCAAAGTTTAAATGGATACCTATACGTCAAAGGCGATGCTCCAGAATTACACTTGTACATTATTAATTTTTAAACGATCCAAAGTTGCTTTCTTATGTTAAGGATAACTTTCATTTTCTTCATTTGAACAAGGGTCGAACATCACGACAAACAGTCTCAGGATTAGTATTTCACAGCACTGGTGTAATTTTGTCAGATCCTTTTTTACAGTACAGGGTTTGGTTCACATCTTCATCACCTTTGGAATCTTCATCTTCATTTGATCACATCTTTGGAATTCCCTTCTCAATGATATTAAATATGCAACAAATATAATATAATGTGAATATATAAATATGTCGTTCTAAGCACTGGTCTGCTGCTCTACCTGGCCAAGAGATTCCGGTGGATTGTTTCTCATGGCCGGACACAACCAAAGTCCGCCACCGTGACCTGTATCTGAGCGTCCATACCAACCCATCATACATACCATCTTACATAAGCTTTCAACTGGAAGATTCCAGCATTCAGTGTATGCAATGCCTTTAATACCTACTGTTGTAAAGAAGCATATACCTAGTCAGGTCATAAATTCTGTCACATGTTTAATATAAAATAATTGAAACAAGTTTATTCATTATGTAACCATTTATATACCAAAAAGAACTTAACAAAACATAGATTCTTATGATACTAAAGTTTATTCATAATGACCTCCATGATTTTGAATACAGGCCTTCAATCTGCGCGGCCGGTCGTCTATCGCAGCACGAACGAGGTCCATGTCAATATCGGCGGCTGCCTTAATCAAGGATGTCTTGAGTGACTCCAAATTGGGATGAGGCTTTAAGCACGCCTTTTCCTCCAAGTGTTGCCATATCTTGTAATCTAACGGATTCAAATCAGGACTGGAGGAGGGCCAGTCTTCGTGTCGGATGAAGTCGATTTCACGCGCCGCCAGCCAGTCTTGTGTACTCTTCGCTCTATGAGCTGGCGCCGAATCTTGTTGGAATACCCAGTGCCTGTTATTGAACATGGTATGAGTAACAGGTTCCACAAGGTTCGTCAGGACTGTATTTTGATACACAACTGCATTCGTTTTTATACCTTTCTCACAAAAATGTACCTCTGTTAAGCCCGAATAAGAAACTCCCAACCATACCATGAGCGAGGATGGAAAATGACCTTGTTGGACATGCGGAATACGGTTGCTCGCTTCTTCACTACTGTGTGCGTACACCTTATCATTTTGTTTGTTGTAGCTCTCTTCTACAGTAAAAATTTTTTGATCCGAAAAAAGAATTTCCCGTTATTTTTTTCCCACGTACCGCTTCAACAAAGCGCGGCATCTCTTCAGTCTCAGGTCCATTAGACGAGCATTCAAACGATGTCCTGTTTTTCTTCGATATGCCCGAAGCCCTAAGTCTTCGTTTAACACCCTCTTCATCGTGGTTCTGCTTAACCCCATCTGAAGGGCCAACAGTTTCTGCTTACTTTTGGGATTTCTTTGAATTCGCGCCTTCACAGCTTTTATCACTGCTGGAGTTCTAACAGACCGAGGGCGACCACTTCTTGACCTGTCATCTACACTAGAGTCTTCATTGTATTGTTTGATGGTACGATAAACGAATTTTTTGGTTATATTAAAATTTTTCAGTATGTCAAAAATTTGAATTGGCGCGTAATCGCAACGATGCAACGCAATAACTGCAACACGATCTTCTTCAAGCGTCCACTCCATATTTAAAAATGAGTAAAATTCTAAAAAGTATACAGTTTTATTTTCATGAACAATTCGAAATTCGAATTCAATAAACTGTTTTGTGGCCAGCATTCTAAAAGAAAAGTTTTTACTGTGTGACAATACTTATGACCTGACTAGGTATAAGGACTGTTACACCACAATAAACACTCTTTATTAAGTGAAAGAGCCTCTCTATGTGTCCAATATAGCTAGTGTCTGGGGTCAATATTATTGAGAGTCCTAGTATGTAGCATATGAATTAAAATCTTTTGTAGTATATACTGAGTCCATTTTAGTCCCAGCAGTAATTTTCATTGCGTCCAATCAAGTGGAAGGTTCCTCTAGAAGTAGCATATCCCCTAACAAATCAAACCCTCACATTCATTACATGCCAATTTCAGAGACCTTTGCAACATTAGAAATAGGTTTACTCTGATAAAATTTCCGATTAACGGCATACAATCTATTGTAATACAAAACTTCCTGTCTAGTTCATGAAATTATGTAACCCCAAAAATAGTGGCCAAAAAGCTTCTTTATCAAGTTGTTTCTACCGCCATTTATGAGATTGTAACATTCTGGATATCATCATCATTGGTCGTTCTGACCCATTCTCCATTGCATGAGCAATGATTACACCCATAATCATCAGATGCATCACAGATTAACAATAACTGTCTTTAAATCATATACAACTAAGGTTATATGCGATGACAAGTTAAGCTCTAAGCTTTATCAAAGGCTTGTTTGCTTCCAGTAATTGTTACAACGGTTCCAGTATTGTGGCTTTATCCATATTAAATTTTTCATAAAGGTTATCTAAACTCAAAAATGCCCGTAGTTCGTCCTTGTTCATAGGTGCTGATTTCTCCTTAATCTCTTTCACTTAAATAGTTATCGGGAGCAGTCCCTCTGCATCAATCATATTATGCCTTAAAATTTTATCTGATCACCCTTTGTCTTTGATCATGCTCCTCCTTATTCTTCCCACTAACACCAAAATCATCCAAGATATATGCTACTTCTTCCATACTTACTAGTGCAGTCTAGATCACACGCTCGAAGATTCCAGGAAATCCCGTTTACTCTGAATGTTAGACGACTCATTTTCATTAACTCTAATGGATCATTAAGCGTTAACAACATAATTTTTAAGTCAATTTTACGAAATATTCTTCCACCACTTAATTTCACAAAGGATTCATTAGCTGTTAATGGAATTGTGTCAGTCTCTATAACTAAATTAACAGCTGACCTGTAGTTACCACATAGGTGTAACCGACATCCTTTTTTACGATTGTTAATGGAGTAGATTATCATTATTTATATATATATATAATATATTATATATATATATATTACCATTTGGAGTATTTTACAGGGGTTAATTAATATCTCATCATTCACCATGCATGTTAACTTTTATTTAACTTGTTTTATCAGAGGAAATGGTACAGGAAGTGCGTTCAAAAACTATGGCGAGGTATCAATTCGCACGAAACGTGAAGATTCCTTATACTCTCGAAGTCCTTTGAATAACTCGGGAAATTATTTTAATAATACATCAATCTTCTCCTTCCAGCATATGCTAGCTATATCTAAGCCCGAAATTTGAAACCAGTTTTTTCCTAAAAGGCTAGGCCCACAGCAGCCAGCTACTTGCCAGAACTACTTGTTGACCTCATATTGTTCTTCCTTGTTTCCTAATGACACTCGAACATGAGCTCGACCATCAGTTCATCACGGGTCCACGTAATTAACTTCACGCCCGTTGCCTTTAAGGGTAGGGGAACAGACCACCAGAACAGACATATGTACTTGCGCCATAACAGCAGGACCGTGCACAATGACGACCTATGATCACCTTAATTTTACCAATATCCATAGGAACTGTATCTGATTACGGAGTTTGGTTCAACACACTTGTTTCTAGGTACTGTTACGAGCTTGGCGTTCGAGACAATTAAAAACTGCCGCGTGAATTACCAAATTGACACTTTAATTACACAACACTAATTACAACTTAAAACCACACTAATAACAAAACACAATTGTACTACTGATCAATTTAGTTCGCAGTTGTATCGCTTCGAAGTATTCGCTTGTATCGCCAACTCAACACTGACCCCGGTCGCGGTCTATACCGGCCTTATAGAGGACCTCAAATAGCTCCTTGTCACAATCCGGTACGGTCCGTTCCGTTTATCTTGAAGCTTAGGAGATTTCCCTTTGCTGCGAAATGGATTGCGCAACCACACTAGTGAACCTTCGTCGAAGCCTTTGTTGTTCATTTTGCGGTCATACCGGGTTTTCATCTTTTCAGACATTTGCTGGCCCGATTGTCTGACGTGCTCATGTCATTCATTTTGTCCCGCAAGTCATTTGCATAATCTGTTACACTGCGTGGGGCATCACGTGGTATTCCGGTGATCAGGTCTGCAGGCAGCCGTAATTCTCTTCCAAAGTTTGCGAAAGCTGGTGTCACTGATGTACTTTCGTGACCAGCGCTTCGATATGACAACAAAAACGAATGTATGTGCTTATCCCAGTCTCGTTGCCGATTTTCCACAACTTATGCTAGGTCTCCTGCTGGCATTGACTTCGGGTACGGATATCGTCCATGTCGTCCTTTGGTAAAATCGGCATAATTTGATCCCACTTCTGATACCAATTGGTACGAGCTTGGGGTTTGAGACAATTAAAAACTGCCGAGTGAATTACCAAAATTGACACTTTAATTAAACAACACTAATTACAACTTAAAACCACACTAATAACAAAACACAATTATACTACTGATCACTTTAGTTCGCAGTTGTATCGCTTCGAAGTATTCGCTTGTATCGCCAACTTAACACTGATCCCGGTCGCGGTCTACACCGGCTTTATGTAGGGCCTCAAATAGTTCCAGAATCTTTTACTGTAGAAACATCTAGAATGTTCGAGTACATACCGGTCTCGATTGATTAGGTGTCGATACTTCTAGTTTCATGGAAATTTCTAGAAGGATCTTGACTCTCCTACTTCTGCTCGTTACTAGAAGGCGCTAGTGGTAACTAGTGTCGCCATGTACTAGTCATTAATGGTGGCGCGCAACAGTACAAATCCAAGAATGTGCCTTGATGGTTAAGAAAACTCGCGGCGGTGACGCTAATCACGAACTTCTAACACTAATCAATCTCGTAGATGTCATTTTAAGTCCATAAAATTACACCTGGAAGCCAGAGAGTCGATAGCCGCAATAAAGTCCTGAATACTTTCACTTTGATTTTGTTGACTATGGAGTTTATCGGTTTGTAAAATTTCATTCAATGGTGGTTCATAGAATTGGCCAAGCATTGCCAAATTTAAATGTCACAGGCGCGAGCTTGGTCTACATTATCACAAATTACATCCAAAGTTACCAAAGCACATAATAAAGTTCTTTATATTCGCTCCAATAGTCAGTCCTGGCATCAAATTTTCCGGGAAATACCACATTTGCCAAATTACACGCTACATACTGCCTAAAATAATTTATTATCCTCCTCGCCGTTAGAAGATATCTATAATCCAAAGACAGTCGACCGTCAACCGTGGTCACTCAAGATAGTATTCAAGCAACTTATTCGAGAAATCGGACGAATTACTTAAGTAGAACTCGAGATTGCTTCTTATTCAATGCCGTTTATTACTTTAACCAGTAATAAATTACATAACCGTGTAGTAGCGGTATAAAATATCCACTAACCCATATCGTCCTGTGGGTGTCGTAACAGGCGACAGGGGGAAACTGAAACAGGAAATATCAATTAGATCCTGATTTCAACTCAAAATTATAAAAACGGTTGTCAACCCGCCTGCCAAGCGTGGACACTATGCCCAAGGGGGATTTGGGTAATACACATACTACTAGGGAGGCCTATGTTTATCAGTGGACCTTTATAGGCTGTAATGGATTAATAGATGGATGAATAAATCTCATTGTATCGGAACTGAATCACGATTCCACGTAACGCAACTGACGCCTTGAGATGGCATGAGATCGGCTGTTATTTATATGATTATTTTCTTTATTGTTACAACTTACACTATGTGTCTATATCCATATTTCTATGTGCTATTTAAATACTAAGCACGTGAGTTCCTTTTTGTGTTTGATGTACCTTGTAACCACCTCTATAGTAAAAAATGTTGAAGGAACTATGAAAAATATACTTTCAATCGCACAGGCACAACAAAAAAGGAATGTGGGTAATTTCCAACAACCACAGATAGACAAGCATTCTGTTTGATAAAGAATTGATGCGTTGTGATGCTGCTACCGTTTATTAATGTATGTTATATAATTTGTAAATGTTATTCAAATATTATTAAATATTTAAATCTTAGGATCTAAATTGGTTTACTAGTAATAATCTTTATATATAAAAATTACGTGTCACATTGTTTGTCCGCGATGAACTCTCTAAACTACTGAACTGATTTTAATGAAGTGTTGCACACTGTGCAGTTTGGTCCAACTTGAGAGATAGGATAGATTTTATCCCGATAAGTGACCTTCAATATTTTTTTATAGCGAATTTAAGAATTTTTTATATGAAGGGTCTTCGGAAAGGGCAGAACAACGTCTGCCTGGCCAGTTAGTTAAGATATAAATATGTGTAATGCGAAAACCAATAAAATTTTTAATGTTACATTGATCTTAAGATACGATTTATTTTTCAGGTTGCTGGCACTGAACACCCTGCTCTTTGGAATAATTTATGTTTTACATTAGCACCTCACTGGATACATAGTGAACCTTATGAACTGCATTCCAACAATGTGCTGCATTGTTATTTTAGATTTCAACATACAAAACCTTTAGTGCCATGTAGAGTTGTTAATAATTCTGAAGGATTAACTATTCTTTTAGAAAAGAGTTTAAGAGCTCTCACAGAAGGACAGTTTGCAGTTTTGTATAAAAACAATGAATGCCTTGGCAGTGCTAAAATAAGAAATATTTGTCACAATTTAGTGTATTAATTTAATACAGAAATTCTAAATAAACTACTTTTAACTATCAGAACTTTTATTATCAGTGCCGGTTTTGGCTCTACCAGCGCTCAGGGCAAGAATTTTATTGGGCTATCCAAATCTATGTTACTTTATTTCAAAAGCAGGATTCCCTGTACTTTAGTATCTTATATTCATTCTCTCTACATGTTACCTATACGCAATGTAATCACTGAACAGATAAAACACTTATGCTTAATTAAATTTACACAATATAATCAAACAGTAGATCGTGACAGTATTTTATGCCGGACCATGGCTTGGATCTTTACAAAGAGCAGATTTGGACTCATGAAATACTGTTCTCATCGCTGATGCGTGTGAGTGAGAGAAAAAAACTGCGAAGAAATTTGATTCATATTATTATGTATGATTCGTTTGACTATTGTTTCCGTTACTTAGCGCCGGCGCTTAGAGTGTGCTTTTGGTTTTTTTGTTGAGTATACAAATACTACGTATTTTTTTGATTTTGTATACTGTCCGCTATAGTTTACGTCTGTGCCATATAAGTATTAAACAGTAGATACTGTGCATCTCTATCATGGAATCGGATTCCGGTTCCACTTCGGACTTAAATCCGTAGTCACATTCTGGTGCATATCTCGGGCAAACATATTTCGGGTGACTGCTACTGAAAGAGCAATGGCAGAAAAATAGTTGACAAAAAATATAGCGTCTAGAAATAAGTTATATATAAAATGAGTTTTATTATTTTTCTATGATTTTTCAAATAAAAATGTATTTTAATTAAAGCCACAGAAAAAAGCAAACATTTTTGGGAATATCAAATGACTGAAATCATTTTTTTTTTGGAGTTTATGGCCTGGTATCTAGACCTTTAGGCCAAGTCGAGTATTTTTATTCGGTTTATTATAATTTCCCAAATGTATAATTATCCTTCATAGTTCACTGCTTCACAATATGTTGATGCGTCACATTGTGCAGCCCTTGGGAGATTTTGACGGCAACTTGAGCCAGCAGACAGCTGACAGTTGGCGATGGTATCTAAAGGCGCCTATGCAGACAAACAGCTTATCTTGAGAATCCATCACCATCAGAGCACTTGTTTCACCGTTTCCACTAATAGTTCACATGCGTAGACAGTTAATACATAAAATCGCACCACTTTTACATATCAAAATCCACTTCAAACTATTATTTAAACTATAATACAGGAGCAGCAAACCGCCGCCGGTAAAGTTCCCGTCAAAACTCACTGAAATCATTTTACTCTATTCAAATGTTGCCATTTAGTATATTCCTACTATTTTCGTATACACTTTGTAACACTACCAACACAACATACAAAATATTTTTATATTAAGTTATTATTAGTAATAACTGTACTATCAGTAATAACAAAAATAAAAGTAATATGGCTGAGAATAAGTCTCTTACAAAGAATTTCCTACAATAATACATTATCTCAATCATAGTACTATGTAACAATTCCATTTAATGTTATGCCAACACTAGCTAAAATAAAATGTCACTGTTTTTTTACTGGCTTTTACGGCTCTGGGTTCTAGCCCTTCTGAGAATGTCACTATGGTACAAAAGCCCTGGAGCCATGCCAGAAATATACATTTATAGTATGCAAATATATAATAGAGATACAATAATCTAAAAACTCTCAATTATGTATTATGTACTAAGCTAACATCAAACAACCACAGGAAGCATGACTTTTTCCAAGTGACATAGGACATAACCTAAAAAGGTTCAAATGTAAATATATTTTTTTTGACGCCTTCTCAGTACAAAATTCTTTGACAGAGTTATTTAGGGACTGACGCTTAACATTTTAAGATATTTTTGGTATATAGACGCTACCATTTCTTCTCAACTAATTTTATGTATGAAAGTCTGCCATTGCTCATTGCAGCAACTATCTTTAAGGGCCTAGTAAATTGCACAGCTTTAGCCAATGCCTTATTTAATGGCATAGAGAAAAGGTTTGGACCACTTCTGGACTATGAACAGTGCCAAACCCAAAGTATTTCATCCAAAGTTCGGGTTGACGTGACTGGACACGTATGACAACAGACAAAGTTCGAAGGACAGAGATATTTTAAGTGGCGGAGGCAGCAACGCGAGTAACAACGACGATGATGAGGAAGAAGGCCTTATCAATTCTGTCACTCAGTCTAAAGAAAATACTAAGAGCCACAAATCTTCAAAGAGTAAAGCTCAGAATCTCGTCAAAATGTGACAAGACTCATTCAACGATGCGGCATTACTCGGAGAACAGATATTCATAAATCTGTTTAGTAAATATAGTACCGCTATACCCTCAAACGTTGCAGTTGAACGTCTTTTTTCCATAGGCAAAGATATTTTAACGCCAAAGCGAGCCTCGCTTTCAGACGAGAACTCCCACATATTAATGTTTATGAAGGGCAATATCCACATTATGACAGATGATTAAATTACACGCTCCAATTACACACGTTTGTTTTTTTTGTTCCTAACCTGTTAACATTCAGAACCCAACAGTTCGTTAACACGTGAATTAATTCAATTTTAATCACGTGTTAACGGAATAACGATTAACGTTAACTTGCGTTAAATCTTCCTAAATTTAACGTTTAACGAAGTTAACTATTTTAGTAACGGATTAGCGATTAACGAAGTTAACTATTTATTTAACGGTGCCCAGCTATGGCTGAATTCAATGGAGAGCAGCTCGAATCATCAACGACCACGTTCTATACGACTGATTGGATCCACTGACCTTGCGAAAAGACGATGCATGTCTGTATTGTTCGAAAACCGGTGAAATACCACTTAAACAAACTACGATATGCAACTTATATGAGCGGACAGAAATGAGGGTGTCCGTTGCGATAAGCGGGAGCCAGCGCCGTGATCCCATCATGAGTACACGCAACGGGCTCCATCGGGACTTGAGGGTAGAGGTAAGGAGGACTATCTCATATGGGGGACAAGATGCTAGAGCAATAAAAGTTCATAAACTTTCTAGAGTGATGCTAGCGGAGATTAATATTTTTGTGACTAGAATAGTTAGTTACAGTACAGTATACAAAACTTCAACTAATTACGTAGTCCAAAAATAATTTTTAAATATAACCTTAAATTACTTTGGGCGCTATATTTAAAATTTACCCCGATGCTATTGTAGCGCCACCTAATTTAACGCATTACCTCTATCTTCCATAATCACGACCGCTACGGAAGTTCCGGTTAACGCAGTGCCGCCAGTACTATTTGATCGAGGGTTAAGAATTTATTTAACATGTCACATGGTAAGTACGTTATTTCAAAATATTGAAGATAAAAGTCGTTATTACTTGTTATAACTAAAAATAATAAAAGTTTTAAATTTTTTTATCCCTGAGAATAATAAAAAAAATATTTATTACGGACCATGCAGTTTGCTATAAATACAAAGAAAGTCTTAAAATCTATGTTCAAGTAAAACTGGGTAATTACTATAAAAACAGATACGTATTATACACCTATTTTACATATTATACCCCTATTTTACTTTCACTTCAGACGTGAACATCGATATGGAACGTGTACGTGATTTGGGATATAGCAAATGAATAATATAAAGAAAGAGAACCTCTTCAATAATAAGTTACTCTGAACTGATATTTTAAATCGAGTGTACTTCCATGGCGCATGCAGCCCGCGACACCAGCGGTGCGCAGTTAGAAAGCTTTTAATTGTTTAAATATCATCCTAAAAGCTTTCTTTCTTAACTCCGCGCGTTTCTTTTACCTTAAATTCTTTATTATTTTATGCTGCAAACAATGAATATTAATAATTACTTTTAATTCGATTAAGGTCAGAAGTAAATACAACAAAGAAATTCATAAAAGCTGAAAGGAGTATGAAAAACGTGGGATGTAATTAGTTCTGTTATTAAATTAAACTTAACCGTTTAGGGGCCGTAAGGATATTATTTATTATCTTATATCATAATATATACTTAGTTAACCTATTTATATTAACAATATGTTAAAAACGAAATTCCGGGGAAACTGTCCATGGCAGTAAATATTTTTCTGCAAAGATCATAACTCGAAAATACAACTTTTCGATCTGATTCTTGGGGAGTTTTTTTATAAGTTTTTCGATAGTCATCTGGGATTTTTTTTTACATTTGAATTAAAGTCCAACAAAAGGCAGGTAGTTTCAGCTTATTCCTAGGAACATGATATATGAATATTTTGTTACTATTTTATTTATACATATATATTCTAAGTCTATGGCGTATGCTATGCCCTTTCTCTTTTCTACCGACTTCAAAAAGGGTGGTACACAATTCGATTCAACTGTGTTTTTTTTATGTGTGTTACCTCAAATCTTTTTACTGGGTGGACCGATTTCGATGATTCTTTTTTTATTTGAAAGTTGGTGCTTCACATGTGAACCCATATAATTTGATCAATGTTTAACCAATAGTTTTTGAGTTATTCTTAATAATTTATATTGAATTTGGTCACTGACATGTATAGGTATATAGAAGTACGATGGACTGGCTATACCTACCATACAAAATGCTTCTGCCGATTTGAAGCGCCCTCAGTGACCGTACCGGGACCTAAAATTGACATAATGTGACAAAGTCTGTTGTGTTGTTTAAATTGTATCTCTGTATTTTGAACTTTGAAACTAAAAAATGAAAGTATTTTGTGTGGTTTGATAATGTATGATTTTAGTTATATAATAAGAATTATTTTTAGTAATGGCGAGAGTGTGCGTAACAAAAAGAAAGTGCGATAACACTCCATAAGTAAATTAATTTACAGCTAATATTAAACAAATTAAAACTATTTGTTAATATAGGTACTTATTACCAACATGTTTGGCTTTATATTACTAAGTTTTGATAAACAATAAAATTCAAAAGGGTTGTCGAGTTGCTTGTCCATAATACTTATCGATGTTCTTTTCTACCTATATCTGTTAAAAACCAAAGTCGCCGACAGAAGATAATT